TTTTGAAATAGTTTCATTCTAAAGCATAAGAGAGACCATCTAGAATCCAGATTCATTGGTAGCTATCCTGTTCTTGGTATCAGGTTGTTGCTGTTTGTGGTGCGCTTGTCATGCTGATTATTTGAAAGCGTGTGATGCTTTTGGCATATCTGATGTTGAGCTAACACACATTCTTTTCTAAGTGAGTTTTTTAAATAAGCTTTTCTTTACTTCTGTCACACAGGCCATTTTATCACTAAATGTTTACTCTGAACCCTCAATCATAGCTGCTAGCCAGAGTGATTCCTGAAAACGTGTATAGTGTGTGTGATAGCTTAGGAACACCTATTAAGTGTGGTGACATACTTTGAATATAAATTACTGCCATTTCCTTTCACAACATCCTAAATAAAGTCTCTTTTAAATAAAAGAAGTGTGCCAGAGAAAAAAATAATAAAGTCCAAACATTTTTCTGTTTCTGTATTCCAAAATAATTATTCTCAGAATAATTCAAAATTGTTAAATTAACATTTTGCTAAATAATTTGTTAAATTTTGCTATTACTCTGAGGAATAGTTCCATTGTATTTGTTTTTTATTTTTTTCAGTTAACATTTCTATCGTGTCATTCAGATAGGTCAAACAACGTAGTTAACTGTGAGGATGACATCTTGCTAGCATTGTTCAACCCATTCTTCTGATTTATAATGTTGAAGTAATCATAATAATTTCAAAAATCTTTTGGGATATGCTTCAAATTAAGTGAGAATTGATCGTAAGTGATTAAATACTTAAACTAATGATGAAAAGGAAGGCTTTATTCAGGTTTTGTGGGAATGACACATGCCTGGGAGCACTGATGAACAAGTGCTTATTCTTACAGATCTCAGAGGAACTTAGCATACTGTATCACAACAGGTAACTGTTCCTTCAGAGAATATTTACAGTCCTCTTTTGCTGTTTCATCAGTTCACTAATTGATACTTCTCCATCAGTGTTTACTTGAATATACTCAAAGTATTAGAAACATCAATAACTAGCCACAATCTTTCTGATCATTTCAGAGGCTAGCTTTTGTGAGAATTTTGATTGAAGAGCTGGAAATTTGACTTGACAGTGAAAAAAGAGTGCATTTTGTAGCCTTGCTAATTACCTATTTAACAGTAAGAACTAGAAGGGATCCTGTTCTTTCCAAAAAATACTGCTGCCTTCACAAGGAAATGACAGCACCTATGCCTTGCTACAGGTTCTAATCTTTCTGGAAAGGTCATTGGCATTCAGTCCAGTGTCTCTGGCTGTGTGGAGTTCCTTCTATAGCACATGGACCTTTCAGCAAAACTGTGATTTCAGAAAACTTGAACCTGTTCTGTTCTACTGGAAATTATATCTTGTGTTTCTAATTTGCCTGTTGATAACAACTTGCCGCTGATGCTATCAGTAACTTCTATGTTGACTTCAGGTCCAAGCAATGTGTACAGAAATGCAGCATCGTAAGGCTTCCACATCTGTTTTAGTTTTCCCTCATAACTGCAAACCAAGTAACAAATGACACTGTCTCAATATGAAACAGCAATGAGAGAGATTCTGTAAAAGAAGAGTATGAATTGTAGATCTGTTCTCCATTGTCTGGTGGATTTCTGAAAGTTCTTAGCATCAACAGGTCCAGGTGGAGTATTTGGGATTTCCACTGTTAAGGCACATCAATTTATGCCTAATGGATATGTTCTAAGTGGCTGTTGCTAGCTATGAAGTTATGCTAAGCTTTTTCAAGTGTTGACCACTTACTGTAGTTAGCACTGGTGCTGTTTACTGTTTGTTCTCATCTGCAACGATGTTGTGTCTGTTGCTTCTGCAGTTATCATTGGTTTAATCCCAAAAGCCTGGCTGGAAGTGTGCTGAATGGTTTAATAGTGTGAGCTATTGGTTTTGAAATTACACTGAATGCAGCTTGAAGTCGTGACTATGCAGGCTGTACCAATTTTTTTTTGCCACCAAATGTTTTGAGATTGATTATTTAGTAACTACTTTTTAATACAGAAAAAAGTGTATTTCCTTGCAAGCATTTGTCAGTATTCCTCCACCTAGTGCAGCTCTGTCTGCTATCAGTGTTTTCTTACCATTCCTCTTCTAGCTGTCTCCCCTAGACACTTTGCTTTGTCTTTGAACTCCTGCTAGCCTTCAATATTTGAGACTAACTCTTCAGGATTTTTAAAATATGTTTTACTGTAGGCAGAATAAATTTTTGCAGGCCAACAGAGAATAGGAGATACTGTAGCATAGAATAGCATATGATTAATTCTTGTTCAATACCTTTTCCACTGTTTTCTCAAGGAAGTCTGTTCTTTCTGATAATCCCTTGTATTTGCTGTTGTTTCATTTCCTTCCAGTCTCCCCCTTACAGCTTCTTTCAATTTAATTTCTATGCCTTCCAGCAGGATGATATCATATAGGCAAACTGTCACTTACAAACTCCTCTCCAAATGTGTGCCTCTTTCATATCCACTTTGCCAGTCGTTTTCAGCACTGGTCAAACAGTTCATTGCTATGATTTGTATTTGCAGTAAAGCTTCTTGAAGGTGGTGCGAGAGACTCTGTTAAACTAAACAGCATCTAACAGTGAGGTCTCTTCCTTCTTGAATCACTGAAATCCCACAGAATGGATGCTGATACTTCACTCTGCATTAATTGCCTTATTCTGAGAAACATTAAATCTATTGCCTCTTATAGATACCTGAATTAAGTGAGCTTCAGGGAACTTGATAACTGAAGAGATGGAGCTACCTCTTTCCTAGTGGAAGCCAAACCTTTATTTTCCTGTCAGTGTATGTAAATGGCCTGTGGGAGACAGTAACAGTTACAAAAGAAAATTGCTTAGTGTCATGACTATAAAAGACTATCCAAATCATCAACTCCTGTAGGAAAATTACTATCATCCTGAATTTGTTGAGACCAAATAAGGTACAAAATGCAAGCCTAAATATATAGAGATGTCTTCATTGTGATAAATTTTTCTAAGATTTAGGTCATTAAGTAGTCTTTTTTTATTTTCTGGAAGAGACTTTTAAGGGTTTTTGTTTTGCTTTTGTGTTTTTTTTTTTTTGCTGGCAGTAGATCAGTATTTCATCTTTACCTTTGTTTCCTTTTTTCCTATCAGATTCTTCAGTGTTATGTGTTTATGTGATAACAAACTGATGATCATATCACATAGGTTTGGTGTTCATCAGTTAATGGAATGTCAGAATTTGGGAAATAGGTGTAGAAAGATCAGGTGAATTTAAACTGAATTACTATAAAATTTTTCTTTATTCTGCATGAGAAACCTGTAGAAGTGTCTGGTTATACTCAAAACAACAGTGTCACATCTCATGGGTTTAAAAGCATTAGACATGTTATAATAATGGAGGAGTGAATGAAGTAGATGTCTCTTATTGCTCTAACATTAGTAGAATACGATGTCTGAGTCGTTGGTTATTGGACATAATATAAAGTGTTCTGCAGAGGAAATTCTTGATTTACTAATTGTGAAAATGCCTCTAGAGATCCAATTACTAAGCAGCTACTAGTTCATTTTCCCAAGCAATTGAAATAGGTCCTTTCCAGCTCTCTGTTTTGTTGCATTATTAAAAAAACAACCTTTGAAGCAACATGCAGAGATTGTGTTTGGTGGAAGTAAGATGTAGCCCAGCCTTCTAAATACCAAAGACCAACATCACTTGTACAGTAGTATTAAGCAAGAATAACTGACAATGAGAATTTTTCTGGAAAAGTTCAAAAAATATGAAACTGACATTAAAAATGAAATAAATTACTCTTTATGGGATCTCTGAAGCATTAGTATTGTCATTTTTACAAAAGTGCTTTTTCATTTATCTGAAAAATAGTAATGATGTAATGAGACAGCAGTTCACAAATTTCAGTGTTAAAAGAGAAATGAGCCTCTAGCCAATTTTCTTACCTCGCTGGTTTCAAAAGGCAGGAGTTGAAGACCAGGTTACCTACTGATACAAAATAGTGGCATGACAGCAAAAAGAGCATCTTGTCTGAAGAAGGAAGAAATCTATCATTTTTATTGTAATTTCCCCTTTCTCCATGGCAACCGTATAAAGCCAGGCCAAGGCCTCTGGGTTCCATGTGATCTGCAGAATGGTCTGTATTTGATCTTGAAGTAGTTTAAGACTTTGAGAGAGGGTTTTTTTAAACTTCCTACTGTCAGTCTCAGAAAGGTCTTGATATCACTGCCATGCTAGAAGCTGATTCGTTTCTTATCACAAACACTGACAGTACTTCACAGTGTTATCACTTCTCATTATTCATTATGTTGTTGTTCTTTTTCTAGTTTTGAGATGTTCAGGTAGAATAAATGTTTTGCTTATGTTCATACCAGTATTTTAAACCTTTATGTAGCATGTGTGCACTGTCTATATCACCAAACTATAAATGTTTATTAAGAATTTTTTGTAAGTATAATAAAGAACAGTTCTAACTGCTGCTTTTTTTAGTGAAAAACAGAGTGGCCGTAGTCAAAATCAAATAAATCTGTAGCCGTGAATTTCTAGTTTGTTTTATTTGAAGGTTTGTTTGGTATTGTCTTAAGCACGAGGCTTTTCAGATTAGAAGCAAAACTATGCAAATAGTTATTTTACTAGTTCTATTTATGTTTATTAAAATACAGCTGGCTGTGTAGCGTAACAATAAAATTGTACTACAAGGTAGGATTGGTTCTTGAAATGTTATTTAAATTGAAATACCTGTGCTTTCCACCATAGGAATAATTGGCTTTGAGGTAGATATATCTTTGTCTTTGGTATAACCTTGCTTTATATTTTAGTAATTTGACTCTCGGTCCTTGCAGATCTTACATATACTTTTTTGCTTCCAGAAGTGTCTACCATTTCTGTATGGATATTCATGAAATAGGGTATTGGTTAGAATTGCTAAAATTGACCTTTCATTGCAATTCTTACTATTGAAAATGGCCTTATTTTCCTACCATCTGAAGGAACTTTACCTATTCATTTTCAGTTTCTGCCGCAGCGGCCACATTCTGCCAATGCAGACTGCATGACTCCACATGGGACAGTTCTGCATCAGACTTTGGATTTTGATGAGTTCATCCCACCAATACCACCTCCACCCTACTACCCACCAGAATATACCTGCACACCTGTGGTAGAGGCACAGAGGTGATTCTTCTTTCCTGTAGTTAGTTATTCCATAGTTCGTAGCTACAGACTATGAAACTTCTTAAAAAAATACGAAGTAATGCCTTTCACTTACATTAGCTGCTGCTTTTCCTGAGAGATTATGTACGTATTTTGCAGACTTGTTAGAACACACGTGGAAATATTTTTGTTAAAGCACTGTTGTGATACGGAAGTGATTGAACTTAGCAAAGACAAGGATGACTATAAAAAGTCAAGGATAACTTAAAGGAAAATGAGCTTATAGGTAATCCTTTTACAGTTAACATTGTACACTTGAGGTTGAATGTGAGATTTAATTTTCTTAGGAAATACTGCTCTGTATGTGCTTTATTGTGGAGTAATGAAAGGCATTAGTGACAGAAATGGACTAGGACAGATGGCTGGTATCCAAAATGAAACAGTTTTTAATGCTAAGAGGTGAATGAAGGTTTTGTTTTGGCTGTCTTGTAAATTGCTTCAGTTGATTGTTTGTACTGTATTAGCTTTGAATTCAGAGAAAGCTCTACGTCACTGTGGTACAGATATTAGTATGCCAAATAGATCTAATGTAATTTCCTAATAGTTAAGTTTCCTTGTTTGTGTTTTTAAGCAGAAGTCTCCATTTGGAATTTCCTCATTCTCCATTCAGTGCTTTATATGAAGTCACCATTAACAGCCCAGGAATGCTGTATCCAACTGAGCTGCCACCTCCTTATGAGGCAGTGATTGGAGAAACACCTGCCAGTCAGGTAAGGCAAGCTGAAGGGAATTTACTACATAGTCTCCAGATTTTCATGGTGTGAAATATCAGTGAAAATAATCTAAATACTCCTTAGAGTATATAACAGCTTTATTGGAACTATGAGAAAGGATCTATTGGATTTCAGACAAATGCATTATATGTTTTGCCTTGTGTTTTGCTATACAGTGTCAGCTCTAGTGAAACTAGAATCGTAATGTATTTAGATGCAACCAAAGCTAATTTGAGCGAAATTTTCTTTCAAGTGACTTGTCATAATTGAATAGTCTAGAATGGCCTTCTACATAATTATATTTGTTTTTATAAACTCTAATTTACAGCAGAATTCACTAGAAACTCAAGGAATCAAACAATCTTGATGTTGCTTATTGGACATCAGTGGCGTTTCCCCTAAATATGTAATTGAAGAAGTTGCTAGTGATTTTTTCACACTGGGGAAACCCACCACAACAAAAAGCACAAAAACAACAGCAAAGAAAACCAACACAGTTACATGCAAAATATTAGTAGAACTATTCACAAAGTGTCTGAGGAAAAAACAGTTTATTTGCACAGTCCCTGACCAGGGTACAATTTTAAAAGCTCTAGATACGCTTAATTTCGCTGCTGCTTTTACTGATAAAGCAGTTTCTGACAACTTCTCCATTTCTTTCGTTCTATCATGCCCTTCACTGTCTGTTAAAATATACAAGCTTACATGAAATGAGCCTATATAAGCTGCTTTCAAGATTTTTGCTGAACAGCAAAGTTGGAGTTTCCAAGGCTAAAATGTGTTTTACCAGTATTCCATTGTTTTGACTTTGAGTAAGTCGGAGGAACCTGCAAGTCCTGGAGGAGCTGATGTTTTTCAGAAATTAATTTTAAAAATTTACAGAAATGGTAATGGATTACAGATGAATTGAGGGGAGGAGAAGAATCGTATATGTGAAAAGAAGTCACATGTGGTGCTCACTAAGGTTTAAAGAAGGGTCTGTACTTGAGCATGGAATTGCTTTGGGCACTTCTGTAATTGAGATCCACTTTGCATGCGCTTCAACATCCAATAGCACAATAACATGAGCATGTGACAAAAGTAGGATGAACTAATTTGAAGTAGCAAAGTCATGCTCTTGCTATAGGAGAGCAGTAGATTTGATGTGAAGGCGTATGAACTTCTATTTTTTGGTGTCTGGGGTCCATGTCAATACCTCACCTATTTTTCTGAGGCTACCTGAGTTCCAGAAGTGTTTGTCACACAATGGTAAGGTCTGGTGATTTTAAATTTCTAAGTGGTGGTAAATACACAGTAAGTGTACTCATGCCTGGTAGTGTCTGGTTAGGAAGGCTTGTAGGAGCAAAGTAATAACAGGAACTGAGTATAAGAGTGAAATACATTGGCATTGCTAACTAAAGCCTGTGCAGCAACTTTGTATTTGTATGCTTTTCTTGATGGCATAAGTTCTGACATTTTTTGCAGACAGTGTCCCAATCAATCTGTAAATGAAGGAATAGAGCCAGAGTCTAAGACAGTTTAGGTCTTCAAGACGAATCAAATGTAGTCCTAAGTGCTTATGTGGTACAGATGTTCCCATCTAGTATACATCGAGCCACAGGACAAAATGAACTGAAATAACTAGATTTATAAATCCCTTAGGCAGACTTTGCAGTGGTAATCATAGCAGAGCTTTAGCTACAGATCTTCTGGGAGCCATTATGCGACAATAATTATTAATCTCTTACTGGTCATCAAGCAATAGATTTTGTTTGTTTTTAGATGGATTGAACTCCCTAGAGTTTTATTAAATTCTATCAAATTAGATTCAGTGCTCATGCATTTCATGCACAACAAATGTCAATGCTAATTTAACCAGTTGAATCTAAACAAAAATTGCTGTTGTCATCTGTACTGATTAGGAATTCTGGTTTTATGACCATGAAAAAAAAGCTTTCCAAACAATTTTCCATGGGAGGAATTGATGAGGCTGTAGTAAAGAACAGACAGATTAAGGTCCTGGATAAATTATACCAGTGACTATTTTGTAAGCTTTACTAGATTATATGCTGTACAGATTTGTTTAGAGCATGTTTTTTCTCACTTTTTTTCTGTTGTTAACTTAGTGACAATTTGCCAACCATTATGTCTGAGGATGTGCAAGTTGATCTTTGTTACTCTATGCAGTGCAGGAAACTGTGTAAGCCCACCTGCCATCTGTATGCAACTGTGACCTAACTAAAATTAGCCACTGTTACCTCCTACAGTTAAAACCGTGATTCTCCTTTGCTCAAGCAAGAAGATTAATCAATTCAGAATGCATATAAAGTGTAAATAGGAGTTATTTTAGATTTACTAGATCAAAGCTACAGATAGTTCTTATTCTCTGGTAGAGATATGCCAAAACCTCAACCTTGCACAACTGATTTTATAGGTTGAAGGTGCTAGACAATGTCACTGCATCTGCCATGTGACTAAGAGTGTAGAAGGTCAGTAAACATTTCAGCACAGCTACTCAGCAGGTATTAGCATAGACTCATAGAATGTCTTAGTTGGAGGGAGTCTTAAAAATCATCATCACTAAAGACAATCCCCTTCCTCTCCCTGCTATCACTTCTCTTTTGATGCAGCCCAGGATATCATTGGCCTTCTGGGCTATAAGCACACTGCTGGCTTGTGTTCAGCTTGTCGTCAAGTCAGGACCCTCAAGTCCTTCTCTGCTGAACTGCTCTCAATGAATTCTTTTCCCAGCCTGTACTTGTACTTGAGATTGCCTCATCCCACACATGCAACCCGTCACACTTAGCTTTGTTAAACCTCATTAAATTCTTGTGTGCAATATTATTTGTTCAGTGATTAAGAATTTATGACGCAACCTAGCAAACAAAGATTATTTCATCAGAAATCTAGTTAGAGAAATTAAATATATTTATTTTCTGATCAAATTTTGTCCAGCACCAAAGAGCATTTCTTGCTTTAGACAAAACATTTCCCAAACTTAACATTCTTTTCACAAGCTTGCATTTTCTTCTGTAAAGTTGCTCTTGCATTTTGTGATCTGAAAATAAAACTACAATTTCCATTTTTTGACAGTAAACTTAGAGTCATAGAATCACAAGGTTGGAAACGACCTGTAAGATCATCCAATCCAATCGTCTTCTCATCACCAGTGCTACCACAAACTAACCCATATCTCGTAGCTCCTCATCCAGATGCCTCTTGAACGCTGCCAGGGACAGCAACTCCATCACCTCCCTGGGCAGCCATTCCAGTGCCTGACCATTCGCTGAGAGAAAAAGTTCTTCCTTATGTCCAACCTAAACCTCCTCTGGTACAACTTGTGGCCATTTCCTCAGATCCTGTTTGTTGCCTGGGAGAAAAGGCCAAACCCCTCCTCATCACAGCCTTCCTTCAGGAGGTTGTACAGTGCAATGAGGTCTCCTCTGAGCCTCCTCTTCTCCAGACTGAACAATCCCAGCTCCCTCAGCCGCTCCTCATAGGATCTGTGCTCCAGACCCCTCACCAATTTTGTTGCTCTTCCCTGGACATGCTCCAGGGCCTCTTTCTTGAAGTGAGGGGCCCAAAACTGAACACAATACTTGAGGTGCAGCCTCACCAGAACTGAGTAGAGGGGGGATAGAAATTATTGCAAATCTCCTTGTTGATAAAAGGCTGTTACTTCAGCACAAGCAGCAGAACGTTTCTAAAAGGCCACTACAGTGAAAAAATAATAGACTCTGCGTACATGAAACTGTTGCGCTGGATTGAGGGAGTGGGGAGAGCACTTCCACTGTGAGTTCCCAGAAGTGGTCTGCAACTTAAAATGACACCACAGATTTTTTTTTTACCATGTAAAAATTTGCTTCCATGAAGAAATACAAAAAAATCTGCAAGCGTATTTTTAAAAACATGACTGATGTTGCCTGTTCTTTGTTTCCAAGTCCCCTGTCCATGTAGTGGTGAGGTAAAAAGTTTCTGATACTTTCTAAAAAAATTATATTTGCAAACTCTTAGAAGCTGTTTTTAAAATTGTATTTGGAAAGTGTTTTTTTGACCACTTGATCATAATAAGGTGTGGATACATACATAACAAAGAGTGGGCACAGTAATTTAGGTGTGTATATGCATTGATCTACACTGACGTGTGCCTTGGAAGCTCTGTTCTTAATAGGTCCAGAGTGATAGTGTCACATTCAACTTTTTAGAAGGCTAGATACAAATTAAGCTCTTGACTAAAAGGTTTTCAAAGAAGCGATTGATGGTTATTTCTTAAGTCTGTAATCATCAGTAATGAGCTTTTACTAGTTAATTATGGCCTTACAGAAGTAGATTAGATGCTTTCTACTGAAGATGATTATCAATGTCTCAGTCACATTTTCTTTGTCTTTGGGTATTTTTCATATGTAGTTACGAGCTGTTTATTGGAACCTTTTTTCTTTTCCTAATACCAATCATGATCACAAAGAACTGCTGAAAATCTAAAGAGGTTGGCAGCAAGGTTCTGTTAAAATCAATAGAAAGAAAATTTTCTAAATTTTAGTTGTCTGTGGATCAAGTTTATGGATCAGCAGGGCCAGTTCTGGGTTTTCTTCTCGTAACTCTCGTAAGTGAAGGGAAGTTACCCACTTAGATCTGTTCTTTAGGAAAAAGATGACTCTAAAAGCAATCCCTGATAGGCTGGAGAGCAGCCTACCTTGCCAAATTTGGTTAAGTTTTGTTAGAGCGCTTAGAAATACGGTGGATGTTAACATCTTGTAATATCATTAGAGAAAAATAAATCTCCTATGCTTGTTTTTATCATTGATTGTTATATGTGGTACAATGTTGTGTGATGTGTGGGGAAAAAAAGCATAATATGGAAAAATGCACAGTATTCAGTTTGTTCCTAATAGCAGCATTAGTTTTTAGCAGTACAAACACTTGTTTGGTAATGTGGGCCTGCAACCGCAGCTGTATATATATTCGAGGTGAATTTAGCTGTAGACTCCAGAAAAGTGAAAAATTGCTTCATGTGTGTTCTTTTGCACTGAGTTGGTTCCTGACACAAAGACATCGTAAAATATATCAATCTGAATAGCAACAGGTAGTTATTTCACGCTGCCAGATGTGTTGTTCAGATTATTAGCACTGTACTTCATTTTGGTAAGCTGCAGATTGATGTGCTGTTTCATGAAACAACTTTCATTTAGGTCACTGGTACTGATCAGCAAGTATCTGAATCAAGCTTGGGGGAGAGGAATGCGACTCCGGGCTTCAGCACACAAGGTAATCATAGCATTATTGAAAGAGAGAGAGCACTGAATTTCTGAGTGGACTTTTCCTTCTCTTCTGCCATTCCCAGTGGAGAAAGAAGCATTTGCTTCCAGCTTATTCATGGAAGAACCTTTTCCTAGCCATAAACAGATACGGCTGGAAACACAGAGGAAATCAAAGAGGAGTCATTTTTAACAAAGTGTGCTTTACAGCTACCCTGGAAATGTACTCACTTTGATTAAAGCCTCTGAGGCAGATGCAACAACTGTCATTTCTTTTTGAAGAATCATGCATATAACCAGCAGTTTGCTTCTCATTGTCAGCAGCAAGGGCTGCCAATCGGATTGCCCACATAGCTTCCTCCTGCATGGCTTCTAGAGGCCAGGACAAGAAACCTGTTGCCTGAAGAATAGGTGTGAATGACATAGATGAGTAGCAGCACACAGCAGGTTTAAGAGTTTCTAAAAGAGGTCTCCTTAATGTGTTTGTTGATGTGGAGGGCATTTCAAACTCTGTCTCAGCTATATAGAATATGTTGAAAAAGAATAATGTCATTATGTTAAAAAAAAAAAAAAAATTGGGGGACCTATCACAAATATAAGTGATCCAATCAACTACTGTAGCTTGAGTAGTGCACATGACACGTTTTTAATATAGCATTAAAATTATAATGTAGATGTCACGAATTTGGGAATAATGCAGAGCCAAATACTTATTTGGACAAGAGGACCTTTTCATCTGTAACATCTGTATGATGAAACTGGGGGGAGGATGACGTTTGAAGCCTTTATTTTTTTCTGACTCTCCTCTTTTGCAGTTTCTGTTGAGAGCACCTCATTGATAACCTCTGAAACTGCTGAAATCCCAGACCACAGCTGCTCCTCTGAAGATCTTTGTTCGCTGGAAGTTCAAGGATCTCTTCGTTCTTCAGATTTTTCTCCCTCCTGTACAAACTGCAAAGGGGCTGCAGGCCAGAGCTGCAACAGTCTGGACTGCAGCACCCGCTGTAGGTTCCATAGAACTCGCTCAGAAGGTTTTCCTGATGAGGATGTCAGTTTGCACAGCAGAATCTCTATGGACAAGTCTCAAGGACAGGAAAATGAAAACTCTGCCCACGGCAGATCCTCAGACTGTTCCTCAGAGAATTTCAACCCCTCAGAAAGAGAACTGCAGAGTACTGCTCAAGAAGGCAGTGTCTCGTCACATTTGAAACAAATGAAAATCTGCTGTGGGGTCTTTAGCCAGCCTTCTGTCCCTTCCCACACCGCTCCCTGTTTTGGGCCTGCAAATACTTCATCATATGCACGCAGTTCTGAGAGTACTGTCCAGCAGCATCACGTTACAAAACACCGCATTTCAAATATTGTCCGATCAACCAGTGATCCTGTATCATGTTCGTCTTATCTAGAAGGTACGTGTGGTACAGCGAGGCCATGGAGTGTGCAACAAGTGAGGGGTGTTGGATTTATGCAATTGGTGCTGCTGGAAGTTATTGGAAACAATTTCCTGTGTTGACTTACCTGTGGGGAATTTAACTCCATGCCCAGCTTCTAGATTTGAGGTTTTTTAAGAACGGAAGTGGTAAAAAGCGACAGTGACGTTAATTTTGGATTTTCTGACTTGTGAAAAAAGGTCCTAGCCTTTCTGCACTTGTCAGAAAGCCATCTCCTGAGTAGATTCTTCCATCGCTCTGTTTCTGCTATACTGAGAAACTAAACCTAGTGGTTGAACAGTTGCTGTGGGAAATGATTAATTGAGCTGTCGTGCTCTTAATACAGCAGGCTGTGTTTCCTGAAGGTGACACTGACATGGATGGTTGCATTGCAGATGCAGTCACAGTGTGACTGTATTGGACTGTATTGTGAAAGGTTTTAGAGTAGGAAAGGAGAAATGAGGCATACAGCAAGGTGATGAAAGAGAAGGAGAGCTTGTGACTGTTGAAAATAAGCATCTGTTAAGAATCTCCTTTTAGACAAGTAAGGGAGAAGAGAGGAATTATTAGCTGAACACTGTATCTTCATAAAAATCTGCTTGTTAATGGAAAATATGTGTTTGATTTAGTGGGGAGTGGTTTGATCAAACAATAACAGGAATGTGGAAGTGGCATTTGAGAAGTACGGGTTTTATGAAGGGATATAAGCTGTTTGGAGAAGTTAACATGGAGAAGTGATTTGAAAGCAAAGATGAAGGCTTTGTAAGCTGTTAGGCAGGTTGTGCTGATACAGAAGCATTCACTGGGTTTTCTAAGGCATCTAAGGGAAGAACTGACTACCTCAAAAAAAAAAAAGTACACAAAATGCTGATATAGCTTTACATAGAAGTGTTGATTCTGTTATGGTTTTTTTCTGCATCATTATTCTTTTCCTGTGAACTTCAGAGACCTCATACCTAGTTCAGTAATTGACTGAACTACCTTTAGAAATCTGGCCTCAGCATGCTGTCAAGGAAATGTAAATCTTTAATCTAGAAGTCTGTGCTTATTTTATGAAACTTAATCTGCTAGGATATATAGGTTCTATGAAGCTGTTGTGCAGACAGCAAGTAGGAATTTCAGAATCCTTTCTGCTGGGCCAAGCGCAAGAAGAACAGCTCTTTCTCTTCTAGATTACACTCTGCAAGTTTTCCATATTGTGCTCCATATGCTCTTTGAGCAGTGTTTGACAGAGACATTAATGTAGGCAGCCATATCTATGTGCTCTAGCTGACTTCTGGGACACCTGCCATAACAGATGCTTTGCCTTTATTTTTACATGTCCTAAATACATCCATCATCTCTTCTGGAGGAGTGGCATTATTTAATTAACCCTTATGGGAATTACTTTGATTCCAAGTTTCTAGTCCTGTATGAGCTGAGAACAAGAGTTGAACATTACAGAGATTTAACTGGGTTTAGCAAAGATTTTAATAACAATGCAGAGATGATTCTAGAAATATTGATACGCATGTGGCAAAGGGGGATTATGGGAGTAACTTGCATGTCTGTGTTGGCCTAGTTGCTGCTCTGTGTGTGGAAGATGCCTTAAAATGAAATGTTTGAGAGGCATTTGAGTTTAGATTTTATTTGCATCTTTATTTCATTAATATTTTTGGCATAATAGGATTTATCAAAATTTTTGTCTGAAACTTTTCACTACTTTGCTCACTTTCCTCACTTTACCTTTTGTTGTCCATCATTTGGAAATCACTCAGATTGGAAGAGGCACAATTTACCACATACCAGCTGCTTGTGGCAGCTTCCAGATTTTTCACAACTGACTGCTGCTCTATGGATTCTAATTCCAAAATTTTGAAATGCTTAGTAATACTTCTAATACTTCTGTGCTTGATTTTAAATACGTAGATACATATAATAAATACTTATAATTCTGTGGGCCATACATTATGTAATATTGCAGTTTTGGCAAGATAAAGCCTGTGCAGCAGTGAATGTATGGCACCAGTAACACTGACAGACATGGAAGATTTGGAGCACACTTAAGGTAGCTTGCAGGCTTAGATGTGTGATGGTATGAGTCAGGAGAGGCTAAAAGAAAGCGTACACCTACTGTGCATGCTGAGTTGGTGCTCTGTTTCACAACCATCTGTATGACTCCAGTGCAGTGTGCAGTGGGAAGGAAAATGAAAGATGTAATAGTGTCTTAATTTCTCACCACTTCTCTGTGTTTGTAGCATGTTTGCCTTTGTTGAATTGCTCTCTCTGCCAGAGGGGATTATGCCAGCTTTTCATGACAGGCTTTTCCAGAAGAAATGGAAGGAAACCTCTTCTATTATGCTAAGAAGTCTAAAATAGTTCTCAGTTCTGAAAACAGATGTAAATAGGCGTAGCGTAAATGGGAGAGTTTACTTCTTCTTGATTGTCACAAGCTTGAGATCGCAAAGACTGTGCTGATGTGTATTGTGATCCCATGGTCACTGATCTGTGCTAGCATCAGAGAAACACTCTCATTAGAGGGCAACTATGTTTAGAGCTGTGTTCAGATGCTCTGTAACCATTTGTTATTAATTGGATCAGCAGTAACCATAGTGGTCAGCCTGCCCATCAGTTTAATCCGTGGTGGATAGCATTTGTTGTTCTTCAAAGAATGAAAATATATTCATTTAAAAAAAAAATCTGAACAAAAGACTATTTTTGTAGGGAAAAAAAAGGTTCATCTTTCCTGTTTCTCCATTACTTGTTTATTTTATTTTAAAGATAAACTATGTTCACCAAGAAAGTACAGAGTGGTCTGAATTCTGCCCCTAGAAATCACTGAGCCTTCTGTAACTTGAGTACCTAGGCCTGAAATACGTTGGATGTGAGCTGCATAAGAGAGAAAACCATCAAGCGTGGAACTGTATTTTTCTGTCTGTGTTTAATAACTGAAAGGACATTTCAGTACATAGTAGCTTCTCTTCATGAACGGACTTTTTGCAAGTAGTGTTTCATCTGAGTAGATTCATTCAGGAAAGGTAATGAGAAAAGATCCAAATGTATTTTTTCCTTGCTTTCAACAGATAACAGGGCTTGATTGTGCTCTTTTTGGCTCTTTGTTTAAAGGTGATCATTGTGCCTGGAGTCCTATATGTAGACAGCATCAAGATGCAGGATCTTCAGCCACATTAGAAACAGGTGAGATCAGTTTTCTAAAGCAGGTGGATTTCTTTTTAAAAAAGTAATTAGATAAGCTTGTGATATAGACAATAAGATCAAGAAAATGTGAGGTAAAAGTCACTTTAATAACCGCTCAGTACATGCACAATGTACAGCTCCGATGGAATCGTATTTACACGCGTTCGTAGAGCCCACCTACTGACAGAGTGCTGTTTTTGTACTGAATGTAGTGATGGGGTTTGTCTCACAGCAGACTGTGAAAAGGGAAAATTGATTGTTCCCACACCCAAGCATGAGGTGTGCATGCAAAATTTTCTCATTCCGTTACAGAGTTGGTTGCAGTTTTTTGGAAGCAGACTTTGATCACAAAGCACGAGTGCTGTGACTGAAGTCTCCATTTTCATTTAGTGTTTTTGCTATCTCTATTTCTTGCTGATCTCTCATGTTCATTGTTCTTATTTGTGAGGTCTAACTAGAAGGGGAACTAGGTTCTTAAAGTCAGGCAAGCTAAAACACTGCAAATTACATGTATAACATTGCTTAGTTGGTGCTTCCCCTTACCATTAATCTCAACTGAAATCCGTTAAAGTAGACGTAACAAAAATGTTGGAAATCTGTGAAGTACTTTAATTACACCCTCACTCATCTAAATGCAGTCTTTCTTGCTCATGAGAGTAAATTGTAACCCAACTTCTGGTTAAAATTACCCATTTTTGGAGTGTTTTCTTGATTACGTGTTGTTATCTCCAGGAAAAAAAAAAAGCACCAAAAAAACTAAGTAAAACCTTTTGTAGCAATTCTTGACTTGCTTTTTTTTCTTCTTCTTTAAAAAATCATCAAACTATTACTTTAAAGATATTCTTCCCCCCCTTTTTTAGTTCCTGTTTCTGGTTCTCATGTGGCTGCCTCTGCTTGTCAGCATTCTTTGAGCAGTTTCCTACCAACTGGAAAACAGAGGGATACAAGGAACATTGATCTACACTTAAAGCCAAGGGCTTTGCAAACAGTCTCAAAAGAACGACCACACTCTTTAGTGGACCTTAAGGCCTATAAAGATACAAAAATTTTAGTGGCAAAATTTTTGGAACATTCAAACTGTAATCTCCCTCCAGAAGTACGTCATGTAGTGAACAGTATACGATCAGTAATAAAATCTGATGAGAGACACATGGAAGAAGCCATCTTCAGTGCCAATATTATAGACCAGGTAGGCCACAAATGTTCTAAAGATTTGTTCGACTCTGATAGACACATATTGTATGGAAATGTTTTTACACTTTTAAATATTTCAAAGAATTATTACAGAAGTTCTTTTATAATAACATGGCTTCAGTAAGAAATAACTAACGTTTATCAAGGGGTAATGTGTTACACGCTGAGGAAGTCATAAATGTATTGAAAATTCTTCATCCAGACCCAGTGCTGGTAATGCCCTCACCATCTCCAGGGCGATTTTACACATTGGTAATCATAACTTGCCATTGCCAAGGTCTTTCTACACCTGGGACATACTATTCCATGCATGCATTTGTGTTCATATATAGAGGTACGGATTCCAGAACTGACAACTGACTTGGGTCTGTTTTTTTCAGGCAGCTGTGTCTGTACAGCATAAGCTACTAGCTGAAAAGAAAGAGTGGATAAACAAGTAGAACCACAATCTATCGAAGCAGAACACTGCAGTTATCCTTAAACCTGGCTAGAAGAATGACAATGATCCTTGCTATTTATAAGAAAAATAATTGATAATTTTGTGCTTTTCCAAATGAAAGAATAGTACATCTTCTTACCACAAGATAGAGCAAAGCAGATGCAGGGTTTGGAAGGAATTATAAAACAAAGGAATTAGTAGAGGCAGCAACTTTTATAATCTAATACATGTTTAATAATAAGTCATTTTTGGGGAAGGAAGGTGATAAATCACCTCTTGATAGTACTGTTACCAGTGATAGATATAGAAATGAAATTCCTTTTATATGGCTAGGTTTGATAAGCAGACTGTTCCTGACACTGACTGACTGTGTTCAGGTTGACAGAAGACTTTCCACAGATATGAATTGATGATTAAGGGTGGACACCTGGGTCTGCTGGTTTTACCTTCTGAGATACTTAATATGTGTGGCATTAGTTTGCTGATCCTTAAATGGGGTAAATTTGCTAAGTATTTAAACAGTAATATAATAACATCTAAACTGCATGTGAAGTAGCTTGAAGTTTAGCAGGAAGCACGCACCATTTGCAGTCTTGCTGCAAGATTGCCTTTTGCTAACTATGAAGTAGAACAAAGATGGAGCATTGTATCATTTAACTCAAGTCAAATTAGTAGAAAAGCAGTACTACCATGACATACTTAGAGTGACAGTATGGAATCAACTTTTAACATTTTTATTCTTTACAATATTTGCAGGCCATTAAATCCTCAGGGTTAGAAAGCTGAAAACAAAAACAATATATTTTAAAAAAAAACACCATAATTTCTCACAGAATTGGAGAGTGTGAAGGAACACGAGTGTTCATGTAGCTCATAAAACTAGAAACTCATAGCACAGTTCTTACCCTGTGCACATCTCTTTGCTCCAAGGGGTCACGTGTGTGGGGGTTTTTTCACAGTAAAGAAATCATTTCAGGAAAGGTATTTTTTCAGCCAGAAAACAGCATTCTTTTATAAAAGTCCAGGCCATCCCAGCAGTCTACGTAAGTGACAGGATTTTGGTGAAATGGCTGTATAATTCAGATTTGTGAAGCAGGCTGATCATTCTTTAACTCCAAAATGTTTATCAGGCTTGCAAGGTTTTAGTTCTTTCCCACCTTCACCGAAGCATCTCTTTCTCCTAAGACAAACAGATGAGTTTAATTTACTCCAGACTTGCATTTTTTTCTTATAAAGCAGAACTGTCTTCTTTTCCACCAGTTTCCTTTCCACTCCTATACAGAGCAACAAGTATTTGTTTGCTCCTTTGTTGATTTAATACTGTGGTACAGGTGCAACACCTGATACCTTTAAAGTCTGACTTTGCTTTCCAATAGCCAGCTATGACCAGGTGTAAAAGCAGAGGTGGGATAGACTCTGGGTGGGTGCATAACATGCATCTTCTTTGGTGGAGCTCCAGCACTCGGTAACTTATCTTATGTTCAGAGGCCAAACCTTTTAAATGGAAAAAAATGTTTACCCTGTTGTCTCCACTTTTTTCCCTCTCCATTCCTGCCCTTTTGAACAGGTAATTACAAGTTCCCAGCTGGGTGTGAATACCTCTAGAAAGCGACTTCAGGAAGACCTTCATCTTCAGAGTTGTGGTGCTCTGAGCTCTCCAGTGGCCTTCTTACGCAGGTCCCGTATCACTCGCAGTTTAGAGCGGGACAGGCCTCGCAGTTTAATTGGAGTTTGCCAGGAGACCAGCCTTTGAAAATACTGACAGGTATGTGATTCCAGCAGAGAGAATTAAGGAAGAAACCAGGACTGGGAGAAATGCGAGTAGTGGATGGCTTAAAAAGGAAGAAGTGTCTTCCTTTGGAATTCTACTTTTTTTCCAACAGCAGGAAGAGAACACCTGTTTTTCTGAATGTAAATTTCAGCCCTGAATTTTGAAAAAAAAAAATAACTGATTTATTAGTAAACTCATAACAAATGTTTTCCCGACCAGGAATGCATATATTTCACTGTACTTATAGAAATGCTGCTGATGCTGTCTAGCATTTCTTCAAAACCATTGCAAAACCACCACAGACTGGCTGTACAACTTAGAAGTTGTATTTATTTAATGTACCTCAAGGTGTTTTAACTACTATCAGTGTTTTAATAAAAAGTATTTCTGGACTTTGCTTTTTCAACAACTGATTTGGATAGAACTGTAAAGATGATTGATATGCACAGAGTGCTGCTTCTAATTCATTTTTCCTGTGTCTTACATGCCAGGCTAACTGATCTGCTGTATTATTCTTTCCCTCTTAACTTCTGCAATGTGTTGCCCCTTTAAATAATACAGAAGGCTGTGGTGTGGTTTATTTTTACTTTGTTCTCAATGGTCATGAGGTTGTTAGTGGAGTAGCACATGCTACTGAAAACTGACGTTTTAGGTACTCTGTGAATTGTGGCCAACAGGTGCATTAGGGAAGAATGAAATGGCTGAAATTCTGCATTTCCAATAAGGTTTTCTAAGCTTGTAAACATCAGGTGATCAGAAACAAGATGAATTTTTATCTAGCAGAGCCATGAACAATTGCAAAAAGAATTGTTATGCCAATTAGTAGTTTGAACATTTGTATTACTAAAACATTTCCTTGTGGCTCTGCTGCATTTTTATTTGAATTATCTTAGGGAAAAGAAAAAAAAGGTAAGTATTGTTCACGCTAATTTGATTACCAGCATAAACAGAGCTCTACCAGCTCTTCCGGTGCAAGATTAATCCTGGCTCTCTCAGAGGAAAATGGAAAGGCCTCAAACAACAAGATTCTCTTAAAGAACCTACCACAAGTTTTGATGTTTCAGGGTTTTAATTTTTTTGCAGCAGTGCTTGTCAGTAGCATTACAGTTTCCGTTTGAGGTTTAGTCATATACTGCTTTCATTTGTGTCATTCTGAGCTGGGCTGACGTCCTTTGAAAAGGTCACAAAGGAATGTAGCTGAAGATGAATAGTTTAATTTTTATGGAATAATCCATTTGGAAGTATACCATGCTTCCATATTGATGTGAACTTACAGTGACATCCAGTGGCAACAAGGTAATTTCCAATGCTATTGGAAAGCAGCAGCTCTAAAGATGACACATTAATTACTAATTAGAGAGAAAATTCTCTTCAAAAAACAATCTGTGACCTTTGCAACTGCACTTAGTTGAAGAATTAAATGGTAGTTGAATTCTTTACAATGTAAAGTTGTGGAACAAACAAAATAAGCGTGCTTTCTTTGTTACTTCAGATTTATTAGTGATAATAGGTTAATTCTTTCCTAAGGTCAGTTGCATGCAACACACTACTCCTTGAAGTACAGTCATCTAAAGACCTTTAGTTACTGCATGATAAGGCTTATTAAGTCACAGTGTATTTTCCTCAAGGTTTTGCCCCCTCTGCACCCTCAACCCCCTTCTCCTCCAAAAAAAAAAAAACCTAGACAAAAAGTTACACCAATTAACATTTATCGCATAAAGAATACAACTTTACTACTATTTTTTTAAAATCTACACACATTCCAGTACTGCTGATGGTGCTAGGTTATTTGTTGAAACAATTTACATTCAGAACACATTGCCCCCAGAAATAAGAATGCTTTATAAAAAAAACAACAGAAAACAGGTAAGCATGGCTTTCCCATTTTGAGCTCAGATTAACAAAGAATATGCAAAAATTAAAAGAAAAAAACAGCCCAACACATACATTACACAAACTGTGCAATAAGTCATCCATGAAATCACTCAGTTAAATCATAAAAATCACAAGCATTAAAAATAAATATGTATCTAAATAAATATTTTGATTTTTATCTTGTGGCAATTATTCTTTATTTAGCATATGAAACACTTGTTACATGTTTATGTTCACACCTTGCCAAACAGGTTACACTTGTCATAACAATACCAAGTACTACAGTGGTTTTCTTTACATTAGAATCTAAAAGGTTTAACTGCACACATTCTTTTCCACTGAAATACCATCTATTCAGCACCAGTTTTAAAATTACACAATGCTCTTGGACCACTTTATGGACTGGGATTCTTTTTTATAGCTTCCTAGCCATAGTTTTCTCAATTGCTTATCTTTGCCATTTGTTGTAGTCTCAGTTATCAAGTTTTCACATTCATCGTGTTATCAAACAGGACAGACATACATACATCACTCCACATAAAGGTTACAAATAAATATGAGAAAAGAGTTTAGAAGATGTTGCAAAATACTTCAATGCTTTACAAAGATTTTGTGTCAGTGATTATTGTCCTTGACCATCCTTCTCATCACTTTTTGACAAAGAAATAAAAAGGAGAGGAAAAACAGACACCTGTCTGTTCCTTGTTTCGGAGTCCTCATGGCAGCTTCAAAGCCTTTCATTTGTACAAAATACAAAATTCTCTTCAGCTATGAGGGCTTTGGTGGAATCGTTAATTCATTCGGCTTTGATGGAATCATTTAATCATTCTCCTGCAAGAGTCGCATGCTAGATGTATAGGGGTGTTTCTTGCCCAGTTAGAAGCCTGAACATGGCAGCTGGCATAGTCTTCATATGAATCTGTTGGTTGATTTACACAAAAATTAGCAGAATTGCTTTCTACTAGTTTTAAGTAATTCATAAGGCCCAGTTTGTCTCTCCCATTTGTTCCTACGGATGTGAATGTTACCAAAATTTCATCCATTCTCTGGATGTGAGAAGCTGTTTTGCTGCATTTTATTTTTTCAATGACAGCTGACAGGAAGTCCCCTCATATAGCTAAGAAGATGTTTAAATACTTTTTGTTGTTATACTCTACTCCAATTACAGACATTAAAGAAAAAAGGCAGCACAAACTTTTCTGAAAATTGAATCTGCTGCTCTAATGTTAACTGAACTTGCATTTTCTTCAACTTTGCTCCCAAATTTGAGGGTCATTTTATTTGTTTTTCTCCTGATCAATGAATGTTTGAACACAAAATTTGATCTTTATCACCTGATAATTAAATGCCAATCCAGGGATTAGGGAACCAGGTTCTTGCATAGCTAGCATATTTGTTTTTACAAAGAGAACTGTGGTAAGCATCAGAGGGTGTCAGGTAATCAGTTGTACAGAAACTTGCTAGCACCAGTAAAGCAGCTATCAGACTATATGAGGCTAAGAACTGTGTGCTTTACTAACTGTTCATTCTCTTGGTCTCTTCATGCTGAAAAAAGAAGAAAAAAAAAACTTTCATAATGCTCTCGTGTTTAAAGAGCTTTTGTGCAGCAGAGGTACCACAAAGACATGGAAGTTCTCTTGAAATCTACATGGCTTTGTTTCTGCCAACATGCATGGACCGCATGTACTCTGAATTCTTTTTCAAGCACCATTTTCCAGAGGAAAAGAAGTTACCTCTGATTTTTTTGCAGAGGAGGTAGTGGAAGATCTGGCCAGGGTTGTGTATGATCCTATTCTAAATTGAGTAGATTTTGGTAAACCAGAGGATCTTGTTCATCCTTTGATGATTTCTCTAAAAGTACTGCAGAGAGGTGTCTTATTCCCAAGGTAAGTTGGAAATGTTCCATCAGAGTGAATTGAAATACATATGAATTTTAATCTCAGCTCTTTGAACACTGATTTATTTTTACAGCAGGTGCTGTAGTCAGAAGTTAAGAGACATAGCTAACGTGCTTAATTGATTCCTTCCTTTAACAGACTGGTTTAATTCAAACAGCAGGCTGAGGTTCAGAATCATGCCACACACTCTTGAAATGAGTGTAAAAACTGAACATACATCTAAGTGTTCAAAGATGTTTTGTTAATTGTTATCAGTGCTCAACTCCAATCTACTGAGTTGATGGTTTTAATACTATGTTAAGACATTTTTCAACTGATTTTTTTGACAGTTTTAAGTCTTTGATAAAAATTGAAGATTATTTAGTTAATACTTTTCTTACCTCTCCCACTGAGTTAGACAGTGCTTGTACTATCTTCTCGTGAGCAGTTGCAACAACACTCTGTCCATTGATCTCAATAATACGATGACCCACTCTAACCCCTCCCCTCTCAGCTATTCCACCTCGCATCAAGCTGCAAATCTACCAAGAAAAAGCAAAAGTTATTAAAGATTAGAAATGTCAAAATATAGCAGTTAATAGGATTTAGTACACCATACCGAGAGGTGACACCATAGAGACTTCAGAAGATACCAGCAGAAAGCAATGAGCAGTACTACAAGGTATCAGTGGTCTACCATTTTTCAAAATTTATGGAAATTACCATTTTTACTTTCATTCTTCTGGACTGGAATGTGTAAACATGTACAAGGATGCACCTAGCCGCAGGGCAGGAGCAGCAGAAGTGGAGTTATGGGGAAAAGAGAAGTTTTACGTTCTGTTGGGATAAGAAAGTGATTCTTTTGAAAACTATTTCTCACTGTACCACCTGGACTCTTTCTGAAATTACCACATTGTTCTTTCTGAACAATCAGATGTAAAAAACAACTAGAATACAAATTAATTTACAACAGCAAACTTTTCATATACATGGAAAAAACTGACATAAAGCTTAATCCACAATCATTAATTCTGGGGAAACACTGATGTAGGCTGAATGAAAGGACGACGACGTGTAGGTGTTCTGTACTGAAAGGTAGAGAGGGGTCTTAAATGAGCACATTCTTATTACAGGCTGTTATCAGCAAACTAATTGAATAGTGAACGATGACAGCTTGTTTTCTGTACCTCTGCAGGCTGGAAAAGGGCACTGCCCTCCCGAGCCACCGCTTTTCTCCATGTTTTATAGTGCTGCTGAATAGAGAGATTTTAGGACAAAGAAGGCAGATCAGGCCACTGTTTCAACTGGCGTTCACAGGTACCAGTAAAGACATACGCACAGTTCTTTGTTTTTTTTTTTTAATTTTATGCCTAATATTATAGGAAATAATTCTGTAAGAATTCTGTTTATTAGGCATAATCTTAACAGTCACTGATATTTGAATTGATTCTGAGGTAACAAAATGCTTTGTGTATAGGCAGAAGGAATACAGCTCAATGCAGCACGGTGATCTTCATTAAAAAACTGTCTTCTCTGCAATATCTGTGCTGTGATGGGGCCTTCCTGTCAGTCTAGACAGATGTGCATTGGATGGAAATCCCTGCTAAATTGTTTCAAAAGACCTAAGCTGATACAGCACGTAAGGGAGGTGAAATTGAGCAGAGCTCACCATGCTGTGCTGTACCTATTGCTTACTGAGAAGAATCTGTTCTTGGAGAAAAAGAAATGAGTCCTACAGGAATAGCACCCAGTGATGGCTGCTTCTGCAGCTACTGTCAATGGTTATAATCATATGCCAAGAATTATTTGTTGACATCTTATAGTTTGCTCTGGGCTAAATGTAAGTATGATAAGATGTGGCTTGTGTCTCAGCAAGTTTATAATTTAATTCAGAAACAAATATAGTATGTGGGAAGATGGACAAGCTAGCATAAAATGAGGGTAAAACACTGTGGTTGAGCAGTATCTTTTCTGTTTGACTACTGGTTTTCCTCGAAGTCCTCTTTGCAAATATCAGTGCTCAGAGAAATGAAATCCTTACTCAAATTCAGGGTGTCTAATATGAGGAAGGAAAATATATAGATCTTCATTTATTATCAAACAAACAAATAAAACCCACCTTCTTTAACATTATGAAAAAGTTTATCCTACGGTGATACTTATCTTGCAGCAGCCACTTTATAATGAGTGGCTGAGCTTCGGCCACAGTGACTCTGAAATTGCTTCTGCTGGACTCTAATGATTAGAGGCACCATCAAGACCTTTCACAGAATGAGCATCTTGAATTTCAGTGCGTTGTTGTACAGGTTGCCTACCTTCTAATCGTAGCCCTAACAAGATAAGCTGCATTACACAGATCTTCACCTGACTCTTATACAAAGCTTCTCATTTAACTCACTGTTGAAATTTGTTCAGTGCTTTTGGGGATTGTATGAAGCCGTGTGACAGGACAAGAGCAGAATGTGCCAAAGGAAACCCTATACATACATTTTATCAAATAAAATAACACAGGCCATACAACCAACTGAAATAAAAGCTTTCAGAGCAAATGGAAATGTTGCATTTAACCCCACTGGCATAAAGGGAAAGATAATGGCTTGTGTATCTATCTAGAGCATTTTTTTTCTTCGGGGGCACTCAAAACGCTTTTAGTACCGGTGAATTACTAACAGCCTCAGACATAGGAAGTGGTCTCTTATTCTCATTCAAGAACATTATCCCTCTCCAGGGAGAGGATTCAGCTTCCTTTTTATAAGCATTAGATATTTTAATGAGGTAGAAAAAGGAACAGATGCAGATCTCAAGTGGCTCTGACTAACTTCACAGATCACGCTGTGCTAGAGGCAGAGTGCAGATGTAAGGAAATGCATTGCACTTCTAGCACAGATTTATGTGGCTCCTGTATTTGTGAGTGACTGATGAAAACAGCTTGAGGCTTCAGTCTCCAGCCCACATACGTGAGATGTATTTGGCTGGCAAGTTTAAGGTGAGCTGTCCTTAAGTAAATGAGATTCAGCCAGGACTGTTTACCTTGCTATCATAGTTGTGAAATATGGCAACTATTATTAAAAAAAGCATAACTGATCTGGATCTTGTAAGCAAGAGCCTGTGCTCTATTTACTCTGTAAACAGAGAGAAAAAATAAAGTAAGCCATACTAGTTGAATCTACTCAGCTGTTACGTATTCTGTAGTGTCTTAGGCAAGTTGCAGTGAATCCCATGTGAAACTTCAGTCCCATCAGTTTTTGCCCATTGTGTATCAAAATATTGACTGTGAGACAGTTCAAGACAAATTGTCTTCTCTGAGCAAATACCTAAATACAACCTATTAAACCAGGTTTCTCATCATCTCATACCTATAGTTCTCTATTTAAGCCCTGTATGATTTTTTCCTTTAAAAGTTTACACAAGTATAAACAAAGGCAAGAAAGCAAGAACTATTTATCAGTTTGGTTAACTTTCACCTAGTCTTACTGTAGTTTTAGATAGAATTCTGCTGGATGAGGGATGGGTAGATACACTTGTCAGAGGAAGTGAATGAGCATCCCAGAGTTTGCTGACAAGTGGTAGATTATTAGCAGTGTGCCTCTATCATAATGAAGGAAACAAGAAAATGATGTGGTGTGAAAAGTCGATTTGTGTTTGGATATGAATTTTACAAGAAATGTGGCATAATAATTTTCAAAAGATGGCTGATAGGTTGCTTTAATTCACCTTCCCATCACACAACATTTCTGCCACTTGTTTCATATCTCGATATGTTGTTTCATATGCACGATATTTTAGTTTTTTTTCCTAACGTTTTAAAGTTCAAATTTCAGTTTTCTTTTATAAGTGTTCAATGAAGCTACTGCAGAAGCTTTCAAGAGCCATGCAGAATATCTGCAATATCTGCAATTACCAATGCAAGAACAATTCTGCAAATATAATACTAGATTTGTGCAGTTGTGCTGTTCACTAACTAAAACTTCCAAAAGCTAGTTCCTCTACTGCTCCCTGAGGCACCATTTTAGGATTTACATGAGTTAAGCTATACGGAAGACACAAACTAAAGCAGTCACCTGCAGCAATCCAGTCTCTGCATCTTCCTGATATCCTAAAAAAACAAATCCCAGATCAATTACTACTTCTGTATGTTCAGGTTGTTTGTGGTCTATTCACAAAGACAATAGCTGTACATTCTGCATAGATGAGATAGGCAGCTTGAAAAGGAATTACCACAAAACTGCTATCAGAAGAGGAACAGAAGTAAGCACCAGATGCATGCATAATGAGGTAATTGCACAGCAGTAGGAGAGATTTAATTATACCTGATCTGGCAAGCTACTTGTTTTTTCACTGTGCTAATGCTAAGCCAAACAAAAGATCAGGATGTTGTTTCCCATCATGTTTATAACAATTGTTAGCATTTAGAAGAATGTTTTTTAGAAGTGTTAAACTACCAGGAAAATATACTTTGCAAAGTCATATTTTCAAATGTTAGTTGAAGTAAGGGAGATGTTTATCTGAGCAAGAAATTACAGCACCAGAATCCAGTCTACTTAGCAGCCTAACAAAGTTGCTATTTTATATATTTAATGTATTTATATTAAGCTCTTCTTTTTGTTCTTTGGCTTTTATATCCAAACACAGACGCTTCATAAATTGAATGTATTTTATAAGCCTTTCTTTGTTTTCAATGAAGGGTTCCTGCTGAGTTTGGTAAACTTCCTGTTGGATGTCATCTAAATGTTACTAATGTAAAAACAGTGATTTGTGACCATCCGTAGTGGTGAATACAACAAACGTCCAGTAGATGGAGAGAACACACCATGAAAGGAAACAACCAATGTGTGCAGGAGTGAGGCTCCAAGTGTATAAGAGATGGTCAGATGGGACAGTTTGATTGTCTCTCGGACTGTTAGCACCCTGCAAGGACATGTGTTTCCTTTACTCTGCCTTGGCCAGATTCTTTTCCTGCAGCCCTGACCCACCCCTGATAGTACTGTGACAGGCCTCCCAAAAGAGGTGATAGATGCACTGTAGTTCTGCTCATTGTTCCTTAAATGTATTTTCTCTTTTTATCATTGCACCATCTGTACATACTGGACTTCTCAAGGATGGCAATTAGGAAATAAATCTCTGCCTCACACAATATGCTGCTCTCAGCATCCTCTGTGGAATCTCGGAAAATCAGATCGCAACACTTGGGAAATGCTAATGCTGAGTGCACTGCCAGTATTGTCCAGACCCTCTAAACATACATGTATATAGGTGAAACAGGTTTAAAGGTGTGTAAAGGAGGACAGAAATACTACGATTGATTTTCCTGTATTTTTGTTTTTGTAGACTTCTGTCTACTCAAGTATCAGAGTATTAATCCCAAACGGGATACTTCAAACCCCTGCTTCTAAAGGACATCAGCCCGGGGGGAGGTATCACATCATAGTATTTCCAGCTGGATAAAGCCTTGTAGTAACATTGTTCACACCAGCCTGCTGTGACCACACAACAATATGTGATCTTAGGTAGGAACACGTAAAACTTCAGTACAATAATTTCTCAGCAATAGTTGGTATAGCTGAGAATCCACTAAGGAGCCACCTGCTTCCCAAAGCATAGTACATCTCATAGACAGTATAAACAGGGACCTGCTACTCTTTTCAAGGGTGACAAACAAATCTGGCAAATTCAATCAATGAGTTCCACAGAACTGGGAACCACAGCCCACAGTCCCTTTTTAATGCACTTTTCTGTGTGGATAGCCTGATTTTATTTTATTTTTATAGACTGAAAGAAGAGGAAAAGGTGATGGTCCTGCATTGCAGGTGGTCCTTAATGCTGTATCAGCCCTCAAAAACAATGGGTGGCTACCTGAGCTAACAGTGCCCTGGAAGTTTGCTTTGTACCAGAAAATGGCTTGGGCAAGAAGAGCTATGAGAAAAGAACCCTGAGCTGCAGTGGGTGAGTGTTACTTGTCACACCTGTTCTCCTGTTTTACTGTGGTTGCAGGGAAACTGCTGCATGCAGAGAAGGGAAAGGGATACTTAGGCCACAACTCCTTTTTCTTTTTTAAACTTGTAGTGAGAGAGGCTTAGCTTTAACCAGAGGCAGTCACAGTTATATTCCTGTGTCTGCTTTTCAAGATGCAGTCCACTACCGTATAATCCAAATAAGTTCTACACAGTAGAAGAAAAATTAAAGCCTTAGTGAGACTGTGCTGAAAGAAAAAAAAAAGATCAGAGCTAAGATTAGGAAGTTAGAATTGCAAAAATCTGTTTCAGTATTACTGCTTTCCTTGAAACTCAGGCACACTAATGCCAGAATCGTGTATATATTAGCTGATCCAGATATTGCACCAAACAACCTGAACTATAGCAGCACTTCTTTTGGTGTTATTTCCCATATGTTATCAGAGTTAATTGTAAGGTTTTGATTAATTAATGAATCAGAGTATAAAACCTGAGGTCTTGGAATGTAGGTATAAATCAATATGAGTTAACTGCAATTCATTACAAAAAAATACAAAATAGATTTAACAACTGTTTTGGTTCTGTGTAGGATCTCCAAGTAGAGAAGCTGTGAAGGCAGTAGCTGGTAGAGACTATTGACAAACATGGACATATCCAACCTCCAAAAACTAATTAACAAATCATTGAAGTTGATGATAATTTTCAGTGAATTTAATTTTCAGATAATTTTCAGCCCATAAATATGTATGCAATACACATCTAGCTTGAGATGAATACAACATGAAGGTGCCTGCAAACTTACACACTAACCAGGAAGAAGTTCTCCAAATCTATAGATTCTGAGATAGGGGCACGTGAAAGGAATTTTTCAATATTTCAGTGTATTTCTTCTTCAGAAAAACATAGCTACTGAACACAGAAACTTACAATTCCATTCTGTACGCTGAATCCCAGCTGGTATTTCAAGTCTGGCCGTTTTATGAGTACAGTAGTGACGGGAGGGCAGCTGACAATGTTCAGTTTGACTTGTGTCTGATTCTTGAGACCCTGTAAAACATCCCAAAAGATATTTCTCAAAGAGATTTTAATTTGATCTTTCATTAAGTTTCCTAATTGCAAGACTGTAAAATGGTTGTTTTGGGAGACAACAGCTGGAGTTAACAGAAGTCAGTTGTGAACCTAGAGATACATGTCTCTATTTCATTAACAGTACTGTATTTCCTAAGCTGTTTGGCCCAGCAATGCCCATTAAAGCCTTAACTTTAATTACCATTAAATCTTTCAAGTCAAGAATTACTAAAACTGACTACTGCCTGCCCTTTACCAGTATCTGGCTAATTAATCTGCTGCTGATCTTAGTTATATTTGAACAGATATTAGATTTCATCTCAGTACTTAAAGGTAATGCATCCTGAGATTGCATTGTGTCTGAGGAATCTTCATACATTTACTTGGTCTGTCCTACAGTCTACCAGGTTCCCATTCAGCCTCCTGTGAATTCATCTACATTGAGCTCAAGAGCAGCATTGTAGATTTTGATATTCAGATTTTAATTTGGAGTCTGTGGGGAAGCATGAAACTTAAAGATAATTATGCTGGACAGGTTTTTCATACATGGCCTTGTTTGGTACAGTCCAATAACAGAGGTATCGCCAGATTTTCCAGCTCTAACTTTCTGTACATTATCACCCCTGAACTTCTGTTTCCAAGTCTACATTTTGTTAGTGACAGATTCCTTATTTCTCATACATAAAATCACATCTGCTAAACATCTACAGGGTTGCGTGTCAGAGTATCGTATCTCTGCTAGTTCACAATCTACAGCTTATAGAGGCAAGTTTGGGGTACCTTTATGATCCCTTGGCATGTTGCAAGAGGTAGACCAACTAAACTGGTCCCATTAATAGACATAATCTGGTCCCCAATGCTTAGTTTTCCTGAACGGGCTGCAGGGCCTCCATTCATCATGTTTGCCAGGATAACAGTGGGTAGAATGGATCCCCATCCAGATTCCACAATCACTACTCCAAGAATTTCTCCCTTCTGTTTTTCTAGCTGGAGCTGCAATTAGAAAGAAAATTTAAAATTTAAAAAAAAAAAAAAAAAAAGAAGAAGAAGAAAGGAAAAAAAAACCCTTTTTCCTTTGATTTGTCCAGATTTGGGCACTGGCATCTCAGTTGTTCCTGACTGACACCTAAAAATTACAAAAATAATCCCATTTTTTGCCACTGCATAGTAGCATGACTTCAAAAAGGCAGTTAGAACTGTATTTAGCATAGTTGTTTCTTTTGAGGGGCTTTTCAGGCAGCTTCCAGTTGCTTGTTCTGGGTGGTAAGGTATGTCCTTATGATAAACAGAAAACCTAACATTTCATGTTAACTACAGAAGATGGTGAAACTGAATACCAAATGCATGAGTGCCAATGTCCTTGGGATCTAGCAATCATGGGAGGCTGCAGTGTTTTGTGGCTAAGGCAGCGGCTGGAGCACAAGTGTGAGTTCAGCTCCACCTCTACCATCAGAGTGCAGGTCTGCTCTTGATCTCAGGATTTCACCCTCAAACCTGTCCTCATCTTGAGGCAAGGACCCACGGCTTATTATTACCGTTAACACTACTGAATGCACTTGTGCCTAGCATGTTAGTCTCAGATTCCTGATGCGCTGATATTTAAATATGGTGATGTTAACAGTTCATAGCATCATAAAGAGGAATAAAAATTGATAATATATTCTTTAACAAACTAATAGGAATTGATTTCTTCCAAATGAAAAACATTGTATCTACAACCTGTACTATGCAAAGTTTACAACTCTTCTGCAGTCAGATCAGCTTTCTGAACTCAAAAGCAACAAGGGCAAGAGAATCTGTACTTCAAAGGAATCACAAAGGCCACTTGTTGAAGCCATCTGCCAAGGCTTTGAACCACTATGCCACTACTCTGTCACTGTTCAAACTTTCATAAGCCAGTTAGAAACAAAGGTGCTACAGAAAGTTATCTCTTTTAATCACTTTGAAATGTTATATACTTGCATTTTTATGTTTCAATTCTTAAATGATTACTTCTCCAACTGAATGTTCCCTTGTCTGCTACAGGAGACATACTTTGTCATGTTTATATGTAATACATGAGAACACTTTACTGATATCTAGTGAGTGTAGTCATGTTACACAGCACATCAAATCCTAACATCTCTTATCTGGAGGTACAGGTGGAAAATGCTCTCTTTCCAAGAACACACATATGAGACTCTATAATGCTAAGAAAAAAAATGATGAAAGCAGGAAAACTGTGACTGAAGGATTAGGCAATAGGAATTCAAATCAAAGTAAGTTGCTTTAGGACTCAGCATGGGAACTCTACCTTTGGAACACAGACCAAGTCCCCATCACAATCCAGCAGTGTAAGGTAAGAGCAGAGTTTAGGTGCAATTACAGTTAACATGTTCTCGTTTGGAATGCTCAGTATTGCAATGACCTACATGAGAAATGTAAAGTGTGAAATATTTTGTTAATGTTAGGAGTTACAATTAAGTAATTCAGGGGTAATTAAAGGAAATTCTTGCCTTTTTATGCATTTTAAGTGTTAAACTCCATTTCTTGTCACAGTTTTGCTTGTGTTCTACTACATGAGATACTAGCATGCCCAGTGTCACAGCATCCTGGACATGTGGTTCTTTTCTCTCTCAAGAAAGTAATATCTTACAGTGGGCATGAAAATAGATTGCCATCTCTCTCTGTCAATACATTGGTAAAACATGAAAGCACTTTACATGGTGTACTGCACAGAGGTCATAATCAAATGGTGTAAGCACAGAGGTCATTTATTCAGAGGTAAAAGTTTTGATCAGTGGAAGCAGAAAGAACCTGGACTTTTTTTTTTAAATTTTGAAAGTGACTTTAGTAGCACAGTTCTGATGAAACAATGCATCTTGAGATGTTAAATCATCCTTAAAATGCCAAAGAAATTCCCAGGAGAACTACATTCATCTGAAAAAGACAGATCAGTCTGAAATGAAGATTCCAAAGCTAGTTTACCTCTTTGCAGTTTTCTGAATTGGAAAAGTGTATGAGATCATCGTTGTACATCTCCTGGGTATTGATGATGTCACTGTACTCTTTCTGACTGAGATCCTCAGGGTTAATTCCATTGGCTCTTAAAAACTCCTGGTAAGCTACGCTGAAAGCCTGACCAATAGACTGAGCTATCAGCTGTGCCTATAATATAAAATAAAAAAAGAGCTGAGGGAAAGATCTGAAACAATAAGAAACGAGACACTGGATTTAAGACAAAGTCAAACAATCCTGTGAAGTTGCTATGTTAGTATGTATATGAAATCACTTTAAGGTCAGTTGTATAGAAAAAGTGCCTTATATCCAAAATCAAATTGCAAACTCCATTAAAAAAAAAAAAAGCCTTGTATCAGTGAGGGACAGTTTTCAGAATAACACGGTCACAGGCTGTGCTTTTCACCACAGTGTATTTACAAGAGTGATGAGAGCTGTTGCTAAGCTTTCACATGACTTCATGGACATGTACAAGCAGTGATTTTGGCTGTAGTGTCACCGATGCTTTTCCATCTTAGTTTTATACAACTGAAGACACTGCTTCAGTAAAAACGTGTGCTCTCCCATTACTGCTGTGACATCTCTCATGTTCCCAGCAAACCAGTAATAGCTCCACTTGACCACTAGATATCTACAGTTACCACCTTTGCACTAATAGTGTGAGAGATGCTTTCAAGACCATAGCCAGAGCCATGAGTACAGCTTTCTCATGCTAACTACCCCAAACCCCCTGTATCTTTATTAACTTTTTTTAGCATTTATCTGGGTATGGATTTTACTATAGTATGTAATATAAGCTGACTTCCCTTTAAAGTGGGCTGTATGGTGTGTACAGTTAATCAAACATTACAGTTACAGATATTTAGATGTGCCAGAATACGTATGCATTAGAAAGAAATTGACAGAAATTGATGATAATGATAGTGATTTCTTTGCATATTTACCTTACTGCACACAGATTAAGACACTAATCTACTGTCATAAAATTTACTTTCTGGTTCCACTAGGTGGCAATGGAACACAGGGAAAAAGGCAGAGGTAAGTAAAAGGAACTTGGGTCTTTTTTTTTTCTTCCCCTCAGGCTTACAGGGGAATGCCAAGTTGGGGTTTATGTATTTGTAGTTTTCAGGAACTGTAATCTATCATTAGAGAATATGAGTAATGTTACTCCCAGTGATCTGAAGAATATAACTCCCTAAAGATACTCGTAATGAAAACTATAAAACTCTTCTGGAAATGCAGCACAACTGCTTAGACAGTAGGCCATACCAAGTACAGTATGATGCACAAGGTTTTCTGAACAACATAAGTCTAAGTCTTTTCTACCTATGAGAGAAACAGTGCTTTCTTCTTTGATGCTACATTACGTGGTGAAGTACACAAAAGCACCAATCCGCATGACTGGAAAACAAGGGTATGTTTAGCCTGTAGCCAGTCACTTCCTATTCCTTCACATTTTAAAATATCTCAACTCTTGTAAGAATAATTCATCAATACCACGATGTTTGTAGTTGTGCAGAAGTCATCAAGAATGTTTCTGTCTCATTCCATCAGTAGTTTATCACCAGTCCTTATCAACTTACTAACTCCAGTGTAATTGCTTTCTTTTCCTGCCCATTACTTTTTTCCTCACCTTCTCAAAACTAACATGCCTGGATGTTATATTCTTATTGCTAGCAGTAGACAGTAATTACATTTCAATTTCATCTGTATTTGCAAATTTTTATGAATGTTTTTGAAAGCCTTCAGTATTATGCACAGCTTAGAGATAATGTAATTCAGTTCTTGAAAAGATGACTGCAGCAGAGCAGTTTCAGAGCTCAGATGTAGGTCTGAGAACAGTTTCAGTCTAGAGCTCCAACCTTTTGACAGCACCATTTCTCCTTCACAAGCTTAATTGCTTTAAAATAAAGAAGATGTTTGCTTAGCTCACAAACTGTGCAACCTGATAATTATGACTGAAGGGATATATATATTTTTAAATTCGTATAATAGAAATTATATTTAAAGCTGTTGCTATAAAATGGTGGTCAGAAATGTTTAGTTCTGCCTATAACTCATACTGTATTTCAGCTTTTCCAATTAAAAACAGATAACAAATTTTACGGTTTGGTATTTTTTTCCATATGTATTGAAGTCCTCAGGTCTGCTGCTTTAGACATGAGTATCTTCTATTTAGCTACAAAACAATGCCTAGACAGATGATGGCAACAAAGCAAGGTTATCTACCTCTGCCATAAGAGATAAGGGCATAGCACACCATGAATTTTCACAGGGCTGAAACGGATATGTACAGAATTCTTCTGCAACCACTAGTTCTGCAGTCCTATTTTGAGAATGGTTCCAAGTACATCCATCCAATTTTCAGTTGCATCGGAAATACTGAAAGAACCTAAATTCTCAAGCAGTCACTCCATTTCTTTCTTAAAGTGCTTCTTAGTATTTACGGCTGTCGTGGAATTGAATCTCAGAGTTTGACTGAAATTATCCTTTCTGTTGCACAGATGTTCTGAAGCAATAGTTGAAGTTCTTCCTACGTACTATAGCCTTTTGCTGAAGAACTACTGAACACTTTTGGTTGTGAAGAAACATTTTTCCAAATAGAGAGAATGAGACTTTCTTAGCTCCACTGCATTTATTCAAAAGCTTCTATTTCTTTATCTTTGCTTGGGATGGGAAAAAAAAAGAGAACTGAAAAAATTAACTGAATGTTTGTGTTCTTAAATACCAAAGGATCAAGTTGCATCTTTGAGAAGGAGTGCATGTACCAACCAGAGGTAAGTAAGCATCTTGTGCCACAACTGCCAAATTGGTAGATGTTCTTAGCAACTTGGCTTCAGTCTGAAAGAACCAGAATGGTTCCACCCCATTGCCTCCCATCTTGGAGTCTTGCATACCTGGCAATCTTCTGGACTAGGGAATCTAATCTAGGATTATCTACTTCATGTCTCATAAATTCATTTTAGCCATGGAAGGTCAGACAACTCAAGGTAACTAAGGCAGATGGAGAAGCATTGCTGAAAGAACAGAAATGATTCAATGATCATTTGATTTGACTGAGATAACTGGAGACAGAAAACGTAAGAATATGGACTGTTTTTCCCCAGATCAGCTCTAGCTTCAGTCAGAAAAAAATTACTGACAACAAAAACTCATTCAAAAAATTACATGTAATTTCATTCTCCAAGTGATTCATTTTTTGAATAGAGTTTAATTCAGTTTACTTACATCCTCTGATTCGAAGACATGGCATATCATTTTATACTGCTTCTTTCCTTCCTGGGCACCAGGTGTTGTTTCAATGCAGTCTTGAGAAGCTGATCTCGGCATGCGGCGTCGTGCCATTAAAACCACAATGTTACCAATGTCAGCAATGTAGGAGATTGTGCGCAGTGCATGATCCATCATTGTTTCCTGCATAACACAAAGAGAAACATTTTTCATACCTGCTGTTACTTTACAAATGCTGCATCTTCTCTCTTGGATGATCTGCTTGAGAACAACAAAAACTGCAGCTCTGCTGGCAATACCAATGCAGTTCATGGGCAGGAACTCTGAAGGCATGTTCATGGTTCAAGACATCAGCTTTGGTGGAAGTGCTGCCTGTGCAGATGCAACATGGTAAAGCAGTAACAACGATCTATACTAATGTTTTCTAAACAATTTCATGCTGTCGGAAAATTACATTTCACTTTCGTGTTTGTTCTGCTAAATGAAGCAGATGCATTTCACAGTGACAGAACAAGTTTCAGCAGTCATCTCAGTATGAGAAAATGTTAAATTTCCTGATTTTTTTTTTTTTTGTATTTATGTTTTTCAGTAGCAATAATATGTAAAATATTATCTTTTAATTGTGATTGATTTTGTTTATGTCCTACAAGAATACTAATGCATAAGATAATGTTTTCTTATATACAGCAAAGGCATACTTTCCATCTTTATAAATACTGTTCATTGCTGGCAAAAGTGCATAGCTAATGGTGGTGGTTCTGTTGAAAAAGAGTGTTTTGTAGCTGAGAATTTGCTCTACCAAATAGTGTTGTTGTGCTCTTCGTATCTGTTGTAGTTTCCATAGAAATAAAGAGGAGGCATTACTTTTTAGAGTAAACTTTCTATTTATTGCTCAAAGTGAAAACACATGGAAACATAATAGTGTGATTGGTCAAACCAGCTGAAGTTTTGACCTTCAGTGAACAACTAAAAACATGCACCAAGTTTTACCTGAATCAGAATGCAGAAGTACTTATTAGTCAATTGTTTTGTTTTGCTTTACTTTATGATCTCTATTAGTTTTATGTCATATTGTTTTCTTGTTGTCCAACATATATTTGGTTCTTGGCTAAGACTGAGTTTGTCTCTACTGCTTTTGGCATCTGCTTGAATATATATGTACAGATATTTCTAATTTGAAGAAACAGGACAAAAAAACCTATAGGTTCATTAGTTTTTTTGAGTGTTGTACTTTTGGCAGGTGGTTGTTGTTTGTGTGGTTTGTTGTTTTTGTATTGTTGTGGGGTTTTTTTAATTCCTCTGTTGTCCATTCTCATTGTATGAAGGCTGCTTTCCTGTTTTCAGGGAAGTTTTATTATTGTATTCAATGCATTTTATTTTATTGCTAGTGATTCTTAGTGTAAATCTGGATATCCTACTGGGCAGCATGAGATCAGTTTTTACATAGTTCAGTCATATTAGATGACTGACGTACCCTCCTTGGTATGTCAGCAGTAGCAGTGTTTCTCTTGATATCTGATCTTCCTTAAAAAAAAACAAAACACCTTACTGAGATATGAGACAACACACAATTTTCATTGTTTTATGTAAGCATCGGCATCACTTATATAAATAGCTGGCTTCTACTTTACCATTAGGAGAACAAATCTCTAAGGCCTAACAGAAGAAGAGTGTCAAGTTGACAAGTAATTAAGAATTTCAGTGTGATTTAACTTGACAGAGAAAAATGCTGATTGTTTCTTAGAGCCACCTGTCTTATTTAAGAGAATCATTATCCATAAAATAATTTTAATGATTCTTCTCAGTCTTAAAAGAAAATGTTCTATGCTTATATCTATGCTATGAAAAGAGGTGATGGTCAAGAGATGGTTGGGGGTTCTTTCTAAGGTTTGCAGGGGCTCATTAGGATTTATAACACCACTCTCAGTATGGAAAAATGTTTTATAATGGACATCTCTCAGCAGGATGTTGGGAGCTCTGCAGAGGTAATTGCTGTTCAGCAGTCTGCAATGAGTATATGTAAGGGTGTAATCATACCTGCAATATTCACAAGAGTGAATGGACCTGGGAAAATGAAGGCATTTATCTCACCTGCCAAAAAAGCCTTTGTGTTTATCGTCACACAGAAGTTACTCAGAGGATTTTTTTTTACTTTCCCCTTGTAGGAGTGAAAGCAGTAATTCCCCCATTCCATCCCATCTTTTGGTTAACTGATGCAATTATATTTTGGAATAAGGTAAATATTATATAATGACTGTAAGCGTGTATCAGTCTTTACTTCTTGCTTTCATTCCATATGCCATTCCAATCTATTTTCCATTACCTTTATCTCATTTTCACTTTTTTTTTAACCTTTCCACAATCCCCCCATCTCTGCCCTGCCTATCCGCTTTATTTTTTCACTTATCCTTTGTCAATAGCACCATCCACTCAATTCTTCCTATCTTTTTATTTGTCCTTAAAAATTCTGTCTTTTTCAAGACTCCTTTCTGGCTTCTGTCCACCTTTCCTTTACAAAGTATCTCCTTTCTTTCCATGGAGCTCTCCTAGAATCCCTGTTGCTGTCCTCGAAACTCAGAAGGAAAGCCTAAGCATTATTCTTTGAAGTGCAGTAGTCCTGTGGCAGTGTGACTCAATCTGAGAAGCCAAACGATTTTATGTAACCAATCATCCAGCAGGGACTCAGTACATACAGTTGTCACTTGTATATCTTTTTATCTGCTAGCTTTCCCAGTTGCTTCACTCCCACCTTCTTTCCACTGGATAAGTAAGAAGAGGCGAAAGGCTGCTCTGATATTTCTGCTGCTTTTGTGCATGTAAATCCACAGCAGTCAGGAAAGAGCCGCTCTTGTGCAAAGCAGGTATGTGACCAAACCTAGGAATGCTTCTACCAAGTCTGCTAAGGAGGTGGTGGTCACCTTGGGCTGAATATTTTCAGTAACTAAACACCAGGGAACTAAAAAGTGGCACAGGGACCGTTTTAGTGCCATCAGAGCTGGTCTTATTTTGACAGAGCAATATAACCTTAATGGTGCTAGTCATCATATTCAGCCCTACTGCACATCATCATTTAACTGAGAACATTACGTTTCTAATTGGCTGCTACCTCATGTGAGCTATGCAGTGCTACAGGTGGATTGAAACATGGATGGCACGCTGCAGATATAGGATTTATGTAATTGATAAAGCCATGGAATAACAGACTGCCTCTGCCAGCTGCCACACCAGCTGAAGTAGATCTATGATAATTACACTACTCAAGAAACTTTACGAGCTCTGAAAAAATATTACCAGGCCAAAGAAGCAAAGCATGCCAACAGCAGAATTTAAAAGTTCCTTACAGCATTCTGAAAGACTCACTGTACAAAAAGAAAAAAACACCAAGCATGTGTAGACAGTTTGTAACCCCACTATTGCTCTTTTTGATCAGATCATACTGGACATCATTCCTTGTGGTAAATAATATTTTAAATGCTTTTCTAGTGTTATCTCAAATGAATCAGGAAAGTAAGATAATAGTTACTCTGACAAAATGTTTGTGGTGTGCTCAAAGGATTTTTATATATATATATATATATTTTTTTTTAATTGCTGTTCAGGCTTTAAGTACTTCAAGAGTGAAGTGCTTAGATGGAAGAGATAGGGTGAATTACACTAAGACTAGCATTTGCTTAACAAAGACAAGTCCCTGCTTTACCCACTAACAAAAGGTAGCTGTTAATTTATCAATAATTGTGTTTAGCTGTCCTTACAATTACTAGCATTTTATTTTGCACAAATGCAAAAATTTGTCCAACTTTGATGATACGCTCTTGGATAATGCGCAAAAAAAGGCTGACATAACAAATAGTTGTATTGGTCATCATTATAGATGAAGTGCAGTACTGGGACTGATTATGGTTGGCAGATTGTAAATAGTTCTGCCAAGTTAGATACTTTGTTCTGTTCTGTATCTGGTGCCACTCTATGGCATGTTAAGGACATGCTTATGATAAAAGAAAACTGAGGAATTTACTGGAGATGTTATAATTACCCACACATTAACAGATGCTAACTCTATCTTAAATTTTAGGAAGAAGTAGGTGTCTGCCTTGCTAATAAAACAAATACAGTGATCAAAAATAACATAAAATCCTGCATGTAGAATTCTACATTTGTAGGCACTGTATTTAGTAAAGATCTTTTCCTCTTTAGCCATGGTATTTCTGAACTCTGATCTTATAAACCAAGCTAAAAGTTTAATAACCATTTTCTGTTTCCCTCTTCCAAGTTGTTCATGAAAATATGGAAGAGTATTACATCAAAACATGCTTCTGAGTCCCCTCTGCTCTTTATATTCCTGTCTACATGGCAACATATCAGTTAAGTATCAATAAGTACACTGAAAAATGTTTGGCCTGCTTGTATCTCCTCTATCCAAATGATATAATCTAGAAAAAGTTACATGAGACAGCAATTAAAAGCCTTATTCAAGTTAGTAGGTGATGTTGGCTGCTTCTCTGCTGTGGACAAATATATTCCCTTGTCACAAAAGAAAATTATTGATTTGACATGATTTACTTCTGACAAACCTGTGCTGATGCTTGCTTTTCTCCAAATGGTTGGTTTATTTTGGCATCTGACAGTTAAACTTTTCTGTAATTCTTGGTGCTACTTTAAAAAAAAAAAAAAGACTGAAACTATGTTCATAATTTCTGGAAAAATATAATTGAAACAATGTCATTAAATTGCTCCAATGATTTTCCCAAACATAACAAGATGAATTTTCCTGTGCCCCTCTAATTTCGATATATCTAAGAAAACTAGATATTTTCTAGACGTTTCTTTATTGTAGCTGGAGGTCTATTATCTATTGTTTTCAGCTGTTATTAGCTGCATACAGTGGAGACTTTTAATAAAAAACAGAGCAAAAACATTAGTAACATGTTCCTTCTCTGAGCCTCTTGTAAGAGTGAAAATTTGACTATATTTCTGTAAGCGTGGCTGTAGAGTAAGAGATGTTGTGAGATGATGATACTTAATACTGAAACATGCATTAAATATATGTTAATAGTGGTCAATTCCTTAAGAAAAGTATTCTCCCAAAGATTGCCTCTTTTTGAAGACGTATGTGATTCCTAGAAGATAATGCTGATCATAGCTGCAGCCTTTGAATGTTGTTTTAATATGAGTAATTAATAATCAGTAATCTACCTCAGGCAAATAAGATGGTAGCATGGATGCATGGATGTGGTTTATGAAAAAGTTGTAGGTTGAATTTTTTTAATGGCAAGATACGAATGTCACGGTCAAAGAAGTGAATGACTTTCTTGTTAGGTCCTAAGTGCAGGTAATGGAACTTTCGGAGACACAGGTGCACACATTCTGAATTAATCTCAAATCTTTTCCTAAATTGAATTATAGATCTCAATCTCAAACATTTTCTCACACATCAAAGAAGCAAAATCAGTCATTGGAAAGCGTGACAACAATTATATTTCTAAGATTCAACTATGCTATTTCTCTCAACAGCAAATTTATCCAAACTTATTAGTTTCCCATTAGTAATCATAGGATTGCAGACTAACAAAAAATGGCTCTGAAGCAATCAATGTTATTCATGGAGATGTTTAATCACAACTTACCTGTGTGTCTGCATTTAGAACTTTGATTCTCTGTGTGGAGATGAACAGGTCCACCTCAGTCAAGGCCTGGGAATCTCCTTCTGAGGTCTACAAGACAGATGCTTTGTTACAGTGGGAATTTTAATTTCCTTTTTAGAATGACAAATTCACGGATCACTTCAAGCATAATGTGATGTGAGCCAATTGCATTGTTACACCACTACAAAGACAGTTATTCAAAGGTGTTTCTACATACATGCAAAGGACACATTGACTGCATAGGAAGAGTGAAGCGTACTCTTGTGGATAAGAGCGAATTTTCAGAGCCCCTGGGATTGACTGCTCAGGTACTATAATTCTCTATGAATAGCCAGAACAGGAGAATCAATGTGGCTGTTTCTTCCCCACTGTCTTATTGATGCACATCAGTTCTTGAGGCACTGGAATTGAGAAAGTGACTTCCATCAGCTGCTTAGCCCTTGCTGTCTTCAGTGAGCTCACACACAGAAGTTCAAGATGATGCTCAATACTGTGGTTTGGATGGGTTTTTTTAGATTGTTTCCCCTAGAAAACACAGAACTGAGAGCTCACCTAACATCTCTTACTGCACAGAGAGCCTTTAGGTAGGTGTACTGGAGACCTTAAATTCTAAGCACTGCTTTTAGGGAAATGATATACCATAAGAAAACAAGGTTACAGAGCAAGTGGGGCTGCAGAATAATGCCAGGTGTTTTTTTCTTAAGTGTGAGGCCTGGCCTTGTGCCAGGGAGACAACAGAAGAGAAGGTGGCAAAGAAGCTTCTGCCTCTCATCACTGCATCATGCAGGAGCGTACCCAACACTCTGAGTCCCAGCAGGAACCTATTTATTCCTCCAGCCTGTTTATCCACAGTGCACCCCTGCAATCAATATTTACCAGCGCCCACCTTAGCAGCCTCAGAATAAAAAGGCCACAGACCATATTACCTTTTGCTAAATGCAGGCATCAGTCTCCAGATTACAACTGTGTTTCTTTGATGACATGGTACAAGGAAGAGTGATGTATTTGCTATCCTTTTTTATAGCTAAAAAGGCTTAGCTATGCCTATAACGCATTCATATTAATTCAAATTAAATTAACTGCAGCAAAATACAAAGCAGCACAAATCCACTTTGGCAGAGATGACTTGTGGTGCTTTTTATCCATGATTGTTACGAGGAGATTAATTTCAGTGATATTTTTGTTAAATATAGTTACTTAACTAATGTATATTTTTGACTAGGTGAAATGCCTCTTGAATTGCTCCAGCTACTACTTGGTTAATGTACTTTATTTGTTTTTTAAGTACTGACAATATTTTAGTAAATATATGTCAGTCATAGGCATAGAAAACAGACCTAATTGCTTTGGCTCGCAAAATACAAATCAGGATTACATTTTAAAAGTCTCCTGGAAAACACTGAGTGTATATCTGGACTAAACAAATCAGAAATATTAAACAGAAGAGCAGCATCAGACAGGCACTCTAGCAAGTGAACGATGAAGAAAATGAGTTAATTTTATTCCATCCAGCATTCTATTACTTAACAAAGAATAAATCAAAATGACAACTTTATGAGGACCCATAATGAAAGACACAATGCTCTGTGAGGAACAAATACAACAGAAATGGAAGTAAACATTAGAATTCAAGAAAAACAGTTTACACACCGCTTTTTTCTTGATTTTAGCCGCCTTTTGCATCCTCTGAAGAGTAGCATAAAAAAAGAATGCAGACAGATGTACACACAAAAAAAGAGAAAAGACAGCGTGTGAAATCAGGGAAACCTTTTGACTATGAATCCAGACTGCTGAAAATTAAAAATCGGGGGCCAGTGGGAGAAGGATGTGCGAGAGGTAAGGGACTGCCTATATCTTATGCTGTTCTGGAGCATAATTGGATTTAATGGCATTATGCATGTTGTTGATTGATTACCAAAAAAAAAAATACCAAAGAGTGTTGTCTGTTATCAGCTGCTCATAACATTTATCCTACTAAATATACAGCAGTCTAAACTGATAGTACATGCACTATTTTAAATTCAAGTTTTTCTATTAATATTATAGTAATATTAGTCATACGTCCAAAATGTAATTGTCATACAGAACGTAACTTAAGTTCCTTCAGAGGCTATCCAAAGTAGTCAATTATACCTGGCAGGTTGGGATTGTTATAGCTTCAGACTTCACAAAAGGTTAAATAGAAATTAAAAGGTTTGAAAATGCAAAATAATTCAGTATACTAACAGTCATTTTCACAATCTGTAATAAAGGAATTAATGACACAGTGGGGAACAGTCAGAACACATCCATTGGTCATTGGAATATTTCCTAATTACAGTCTGCCACTTGTCTTTAATATATAAATTCTTCATACAGCTTTCAAACGATTTTGAATAGACTGTGGAGTGATTTATATTTTGCTCCTAGGAGAAGCTGTATGTTTCTTCATGACAAGCACTGGAAAATTATGGTGTGTATTCTTCTGGATCTGTGCTCACCGAAATGCACTTCAGATTAGGTTTGAAGCTGCGGATCTCATCATGTTTAGAGATCAGCTGTCAGAGTACCAGAGAGTATTCTGCAAACCATAAAAATCCCCTACCTTAACACGGCTCACTGCCTCTTGAGCCTGCATCATCCTTATGTTTTTGGAAGGGTTGCGCTCAGAGAGCAGCTGTGTAGAGCCCAGGTAATTGGCTGCAAAGATGATTCCATCAATGAGGTCTTCAGGTTCGCAAGGTCCTGGAACTGACATGGCAAATTTACTGTTACTGTGTCTCAGAAGAGGATAGAGATGAGAAACTGAATTAAGGCTATTCATGTTTGGGAGAAAGATGTGCTCTGTTTCAGCATGAAACCTAACAGTAAGTAGGCATCTTGATGCCATATAGTAATATATAAGGCCTAAATTCAGGGACAGATAGAAAAATATAGGCATCAGTCTGGTACCAATTGTATAAAATGGAGAGCTGGAGAAACACGTCTCAGAACAGAGCAGAATGAAAGCCTCACACTCTGAGCAATAGCACCTGCAAGGTCATACAGCATTTTCCCCTGAAAATAGGAAAGTCATGTAAGGCAGTTATGGAAATGAAACACATGGAAAGATTAGGGAAAAATTCGTGTAAAACAGAGGGAAATAGTGGAACTTAGTATTCCTTAATTATTAAACCTCATTCAGCAAAATGCCTTTGCATATGCTTAATATTCATTATGGAGTGACTTGTGAATTATGAGTAAATCTTAGAACCTTACCCAAGTTGTTTCTTTCCAAAGATGAAGAAGAGGGGACAGGGACAAGAATAAAGGACAGCATTTACTTCTTACTGGGACTATGCTCATCACCCTCTTTATTTAGCTGTTAAACTTTACATCGAGCTTTATTAGAACAGCCATTCCAGACAGAACCTGAAATCCCTAGACTGCAAATATTTTCTGATGCCCAAGAGTTTTTTTAAAGAAATTTTCTTTCAGCTCTGTCAACTTGACAAGCAGATAATTTCCATTAAAAATGAGAAAAACCTTAACAAAATCCTTCTGAATCTAATAATTTAAAACATCACATAAACTTTTCGTTAAGATCAAGTCTTTCAATATCTCAAAAAATGATCCTTGTTCCTGCAGTGATAATTCCTTGAATTACATAATTAAAAAATATATATAATTCCAACAAAACTCCATTTACTGTATCTCTGATCTTATTTGTTTACAACTGTGCACCATTAAATTTTTCAGCAGGCAAGTGATGCATTTTACATGGTAGCTCTTATGATGATGTCATTCAGACATCCTCTCAGGCCTAAAACATAGTTTTGTAAATCTGTACCTCTTTCAGCAAGCAAAAAACATATCCATGCTGTATCACACTGATATCTTGCTTCACAGATAGCAAAGAGGAAAAAAAAAAGCGATTTTAATGCTGGTTAGCAAAATTTCATTAGATACCTGCATCAATACCATCATTCAAAATTAAAGTGGCTTTAATTTTGTTTACCTTCACTCTTTTCAGGCTAAGTAAATCAGGCTAAATTAAATCAGGGCTGTGTTAACTCTGAAATGCAGTTACCCACATAATGTTTAAATCAGTTTAACTAACCTCTGCTGGCAGTTAATTTAGATGCATGTTATTGAAATATTTTGTATGCATAAAGACAAATAAAACTGGAATGCTTGATACAAACTCTAATATAGATAGTAAAGCATCAAGCAAGGACCAGAATTCTCTCTCCTAGCAGAATTTGTCAACAAAAATAAGAAAAAAAGATAGTGGTTATTTGAAACATCTCGGTCCCTAAATTACTTCCTTCCCATCCCAAAAGTTCTGGCTGAATTTAGGAAAGCCTGTGTTCAGTTCTAATTGTTTTCAAGAATGTGAAGTTAGCTCTTTTTTTGTTAAATTTGTCCCTTTCAGATCTTTGAATAAGACATTTTTGTCTTGATTTCCAAGTGACTGCTAGCTGTGTCAAAGGCCTTTCAAAGATAAATTTAGAGACCTGTTTGTATGCATATGCTATTGGCAGCTCAGTGCATGAAACAGTAACAACTCAGTGTAGCTTATGGGGTTGTGAAATTAATGAGCGTTACAAAGGAAAGAACAAATTCTTCTCATATTTGGGTAGTTTGATGCCAGCAATAGTATTTTTAAGAAGTTTGTCCAAAAAATTCTTGAAAATGCAAAAACCCTGGGGTTTTAAGCAGTTCTGTTATTCTAATTTTATTTATTTTTCAAGTAAAATTTTTTCTTCAAAAACTGTTCCTTTTGGTTAGATATAGTCTCATCATTTCCTCATAGAGCTCACATTAGTGCTTTTTGCAGAATTATTATAGTAGTAACAAGTTGTGCTGCATTAAGTATAAAATAACAGCTCGTACGGAATCATAGAATCATAGAATCATAGAATCACCAAGGTTGGAAAAGACCTAAAAGATCACCCAGTCCAACCGTTCACCTATTCCCAATAGCTCCCACTAAACCATGTCCCTCAACACAACATCCAGTCTTTCCTTGAACACCCCCAGGCTCGGTGACTCCACCACCTCCCTGGGCAGTCTGTTCCAGTGCCTGACCACCCTTTCTGAAAAGTAATACTTCCTCATGTCCAGCCTGAATCTCCCCTGCCGTAGCTTGAAGCCATTCCCCCTGGTCCTATCACTAATGACACGAGAGAAGAGGCCGACCCCCAGCTCACTACAACCTCCCTTCAGGAAGTTATAGAGAGCAATGAGGTCTCCCCTGAGCCTCCTCTTCTCCAGGCTGAACATTCCCAGCTCCTTCAGCCTCTCCTCATATGGCCTGTGTTCCAGACCCCTCACCAGCTTTGTTGCCCTCCTTTGAACACGTTCCAGGGCCTCAATATCTTTCTTGCAGTGAGGGGCCCAAAACTGGACACAGTACTCGAGGTGCGGCCTCACCAGTGCTGAATACAGGGGAAAAGTACAGCGTACATTTCCAACGTACGCTTCCCATCGTGAGAGAAGTGGAAGGTAGTGTCAGAAAGGTTAAGACATCTGTTGGAAGGGTGTAAGGAATAGTATTGAAAATTGCCAGGGTCAAACTGGGTTACCTGAGCATTTTCTTTCCTTATCTGTGATGTTTAAAGAATATAAAAATGCAGACTTGGCTGAGATCCCAGCTCATCAGAGCACTTAAGCGTGCCCTTGGCTGTAAGTATGTGTAAGGCTTACTGATAAGGAAGGGAAGGAGAAAGACATTTGGATGTTGAAGACTGGAATTTTATGTTGGCTGTAGATATTTATAAAAGTTAGAGAACTTGTTCTGAAAAATTTAAATTTCTGTACCATATGAAGACAACAGAGATTACTTGATTTTTGCTGAACTAGTAATACTAGAAAATAGTATATTGATTATTTCTAAACCAAAACAGGAGACTCTAAAAATGTTTAAATTAACTTATTAATTATTTTTAAGAAAAAAATTCAATAATGCAACGTAACTGAATTTAATAAGGTCTTGAGATCATACGTTTTATATTTATCTAAAATAACATGTAAATCCAAGATTCAGAGAGTATTAGGGATTGCACTCAAAGCACTGAAGCACCATCAGCTGCCTGCTGAGAACCATTGTGCTCCGTGAAGTCACTGAGACCTCAGGATGTGTGGCAGTGCAGCAGAAGGACTTCTGGTAAGGAATAAATGGCCACAGAGCATATGTCACCTTGCAGAATGTCTACCTACAAATTCCATCTTTTGGCTTATTTCGCTATTTCATCTTGGTTGAGACTCTGCAATGGAAATGAGATTTAAGGTGACAGGATAAATATAGGGTGGGAAAAAAGCAAAACTCCTGAACACTGCACAAATTACCTACAAGCACATATTGGTACAACTGCCGAAATAACTGCAATAGCAAAGACACATCTCCTATATTTTTTGCACCAGCTATCTAATTTGTTTTTATATCTGTAATTCGTATGCAAAACTATAATGAATGTACAGAGATACAAATACAGCTATTGTAGCTGAGGAGTCATACTGTATGTTAAGTGCCTCGACAGCTGAATGATGACCAGAACATGGTTATAGTGCCATCAAGAACAAGGATGTTAGCTGGTAGATTCTTTTTCAGTGTGCAGAGGTGTCCCATGCTTTTTGAGACACAATATACAAATTAATTATGAGAACTGTGAATGGTTTTTGGGTTCAGAAAGCAGAGATTATCTATCACAGAATTGCAGGGGTTGGAAGAGACCTCTGGGGATCATCAAGTCCAAACCCACTGCTCACAAGCTCCTAGTGAGCTACGTTTATTTCTATTAGTGCTCTGTAATACCTGCAATAGGAAAAGCCCGATGGATGGCTTATGCCCTCACACTGTGCTACTTGAGAAAAAAAATCAGAGACAGCAGGAAGACTGAACTAAAAAAGACTCCTATGTTACTAAAAGAGTATACTGACCCCCTTCCAATGGAGAGCTGACCGGTTTAAAAAGAGAAAAATGTAACCTTTTTACCCCAGTAAAATAAAAGGCGTAGTTTTTTCTGCCAGTGTTGTTAGGGATAATTTTTTTACTTTTTAAAGCTCCATTAGTGCTGCCCTGCCTTTATAATTGTCCACCATACACTCAGTAGACGCTTATTACAAAGGATCAGCTTGCTGTCTTGTCTCTCCTGCCTTTGGGAAATGCATTTAATTTACTTCTATTTAGGGCCTGTTAGCCAGTATATGCCAAGCGTGGAGTGTAGTTTCTGTCAGATGTCAATTGTGTAAATGGGGCTGTCTCTGAACTTTCCATTTGCTGTAGCTCTTCAAAGAAATGATTAGAAGCTGCTAGTCAAGCTGACAGGATCAGGGAATAGGTGAAAAACACATTGAACATTCTAATATTGTTCTAAGTCACAGTAACTTTTCCTTGAGTTGGGAATGGCATCAGAAATAAAGTTTTTATCCTTCATTTATGGTTCACATTGTAGGGAAATGCATGTCAGAGCAGAGGAGTCAAATCCTTTGGAACATCCTACTGCCTTCACTTGCTTTATGATGTAGACACTTCCTCTGTAGAAAGAGCTGTGGGGCTCGGTATATTTTCCCCATAGAAAGCTCTTCAATTTCTCCTGTGCTGCTATTACTTATTTTCCATTTGGAGAAAAGTCAATTTATTAAAACAAGAAGGTGGACTAGGATTGTACTGAATATCATTATCACTCTTTGACTGACAGACAATTGAAGTAACACATGAAAACGTGGTTCTACCAAACCAAATCACCAAAGAGGTGATTATGGTTCTCCTTGTCTCCATTTTGTACTCCTAATTTTTTCTCAGATTGGGAAATCCTCTCCCATTTGTGCCTAAAACTGAGATTCCCAAAGTGCAATATAGGCGTCATGTCAAAATGACACAGGGGCTCTGAACAGTTCAGTTGCGTGACTCCTTCCTCTGTGCAGAGCAATAAAGAATGGGCTGCTCTTCTACCTCCATAAATCTCCAACCTGGTAGGACCCGCTGTTTTCAGCCATTTTTTCTCCTTGCAGGTTTGTAGCTATCTCCATCCTTACATTTACTCTTGCCCATTGCTCCGTTTCTCCCTCTCATCGTCATTAGCTCTCATTGTCACAGGTATGTATAAGAATATACCTTATTCTTATACCTTATTTAATATTAAATTAAATATTATTTCCATACATAGTGTATTCTGAACAGAAATAGGTTTTAGTTTATTCTTTGCACTTTGGAGCTGCTTCTCTTGGGTTTGACTTTTTTTTTAGAATTTTGATTTATAAAATATATTGGTTTTTTAATACTTTAACTATGGATGATGCAAAACTTACCATCAACAAAACTTGGAAATGAGGATACTTTCTTTGACTGTTGAAAAATAAAAATAATACATGGTATAAATGTAATGAAATAATTTTCACAAACTGAAGTGAATTCATATTACGAAGAGCTGACTATTATTTAAAACAAACACACAAACAAACAATTTTCTCTGTATAACTTTTGCATAGCCATTATTTGCAACAGTGAAACACATTGCATCATAGTAATTAACCCAGCCTGTTACATAGCTCTGTTTACCTGGAATCTTGAAGTATTTAAGCAGGTTCTATCACACAAAAAATAAGGGGGTGTGAGGAAAAAAATGAAGTCAGCTGCAAAATGAGCAATACCAACCACAGATTCCAATCCCAGTCCAGTAACTCATCCACCAGATCACACTACGTAATATCCCAAATTTACAGTTAAGAACATTTAACAGTATTTCAACAAAACAAGAATCTTAGTGAATGAAAGGAACTGTTTCTGATTGCACTCTACCTAAGCCTACCACTACTGTCTGTACTCTAAATAAGCAGATCAAGTCCTGCACTTTGCTTGGCTTATGTTGGCCTCCTCAGGCACTGCTGTTTCCAGGAAAGGGGCTGATTTCTCTGTTATGAGAAAAGGCTTCAGAAATCTGTCTCCTCAGTAAAGTAACAGGCCAAATACGTTGTATGTTTGTGAGAAAACTCACTGCTGCTTTTAAGTCTGAATTTTACTTGATTGTGTCTAGCCTCAAGCATAACCTCATTGTGCATTCCTAGATGCCTTGTGCGCTCCACTCTTGAGAGACAAGAACAGCTCTGCCTATCACCGTGCCTTTTTCACAGCTGACTGAGCAGGGACATGTTCACCCCAGAGGCCACTAAAAAAACTGAATCATTTGAGCCCTCAGAACTGAATGAGGTGCTTCGTATTAGGGATAAGTGAAAGAACTGTGAGAATTAAGCAGTCCTCTGGTTTCGAAGTCTGGCATTTTAGGGCGAAAAGAAAACAAGGATAAGCCAATTTCTTTTTGATGTTGCTTTTACTCTTCAGTAATACAAAAAGAACTTCTGAAGTGTTCTCTCTCTTCTTTGTGTCATCAGAAAATTCTAGGCTTAAGTATATACTGTGGATGGTTAAATAAAATGAATGTGGTAGCAAGTGATTCATGGATTTGGTTTAAAGATCCGAACACACAGTCACAGAATTTATTGTCAGTTCAGGAAAAGAAAGAGTTTATGTAATGTGTTTGTGAGAGGGGGAAAACTGACAGTTTGGTAACTGCTTTCCCTCATGGAAGCTCAACCAGCAGGATGGCCTAAAGCACCTACCTCAGGTGTGTTATTATTGTCAACTGGGCCATTGAGGTCAGAACGCTGCTGCTTCCTTGGCTGTTCTATACCATTGCACACCTGTAAAAAAAGAGAAAGGACTTAAAATCCTTTTGTCTTCTGAAAAGCTTAAAAACAAAGGAGATTTCAAGTCAGTGCTGCAAGGATAGTCGGAAAATTTTCATCAGAAAATGTTATTTCATCTGAAAAGAATTATTTAAGTTTCAACTGAAAGTTGTATGGGGAAAGAATAAATTACATTCAGAAAATCTTAACAAAAATGCATAATGCTTTAAAATATGAAACAGTATGTAGCATTTTCTCTGTTATTTTGTGACAAGCAGTCATTTGTCATGAAGCTGTTCTGTGTAGTTATTTATATGCAATCAATATTCATTATTGATACTGAGGTATATGAGGATACTGTAGTTGAAATTTCCTATTTTAATTTAATATATATGAGATTAATATAAAAACATTGAGGTGTTTAATTATAATAAAAGATCAACTTAGATGTAAGTAAGGCATTTCAAATACCATTGAACAGCAGTCACACCACTGACTTAAATTAAGATGATGACTTTATTTCAATGCAGATGTTTCATGCAAAATGAAACAGATACCGAAATGTTGAAATAGTTCACAAACCAAAGTCAGAATTTTAAAATATGTATATGCTCAGCACTGGACAAAATTGCAGCAGTCCTAATGGCACCTCTGATTGGAAAAGAAATATCCAGCACTGTCTCTAGGATTCTCCGTTCATGGGATATTCCTTATGGTATCTCCCTCTTTTTGGGCCAAGCACATGTACAGAAAGCTGGCAGTGCAGCTTCAGGCTTCTGAATAGATGTAGAAGAGAAAATATAGGAACGTATTTGAGAAAAAAAAATGAGTTGTTTAAACCAGAGAATGCTCTTTTTCCTCTCAGGAGCAAAGTCCTCACAGGCAGAATTTCTCAAGGGTGACACAAGTCACGGAACAGCAGCACCTGGTACAGGGACTGCACGTCCCACGTCTGCCAAGAAAGAGAAGTTTTCCTGACACTGTTTCACTGTTAGAAATCTGGAAAGCCAACCTGATTTTTTATGGTTAATGACATTCCACTTCCTTTTTTCTCTGTTTCCCCATTATGTGTAAAAGAAGAGAGCCTAAATACCACCGTCACTGTAAGGCTGGACAAATACAATTCTGTACCAACAGTTGTGCTAAACGCTGAGCCAGTATTATTTCAAAGCATCAGCATGAAAGTTACCTCTGAACAAAACTCCGTGTCTACTGACTTTCAAATGCATACGTAGCTGTAGATCAAAGAATGTCTCCATGTTTGTCTCTAGGCAAATTATTCCCTGTGAGTAATGTTTTGTCAGCTAAATAAAATGTGCGACTGAAGCAGCTGTATTAGTGCTGCTAGTTCCATAGCAGTAATGTTCAGGTAAGACAGCATACACAAGGAAAAAATTCACCAAAATACTGGGCACAGTTTTTGGGAAATAGAATACCTGAAACAGATTGATGCACAGAGCACCACGACACGGGGAAGCAGACCAGTGCCCTGCCTAGATGGCTGCAGTAGCTAAGAAGCTTACTACATCCTTGTATGCTTAGTAATGCTATTTTGTTTGAGACAAGACAAATCTAATCATACTGCAGGGTGAACAGATACAGAGCAGTGCAGTGATACACATTAACATGGGTAAACAAATACCCAAAGAGCTTTAATAATAATAGTATAATAATCATACATTATTCCCTAAAATAGTAGGATTAGACCAAATATGCTTTAAGCAAGAAACATGACATGGCCATAATGAATATACATTGAACTGTAAAAAGAGTGACAGCAAATAAATTAAATTCAGTACAACAGAATTTTAATACTTCTAAATCACTGCCAGTTCTGATTACCACACACTTGAATAAACTGAAAGCGCACCTGCATATCAAGAAAGAATTGGTTGGCTGCTTTATTAAGCATACACTGGATGCTCTAAAATACTACTGAAAAACGTCTGTCACAAATCCTAAATAGAGGTGGACTCAGCCCGTGGGATCACAGTTCCAATTATGCTCTTTGATAATAACTCCAAGGAAGGTTCCATGTAGCCTTACTGTAAAATATCACCAAATACATGGATGACATTTCATTCTTGAGTTATTTCCAAGCACATTTGAGCTAGACACTTGCAAGGTATTGTAAATGCTTTACACCTTGACTTATTGGATGCATACTTATTTAAACTATTCTGCTGTTACTCTTTCAAATCATTTGAGCAATGGATCATTTTACATCCTGCAGTTCCCTGTCTTTTCATACCTATTCATGTGTACACAGTGAAAGAACACACTGTAAGGTAAACTTGAAGACATGCATTTTTTTGAGAGATCATTCACTAGGATAAGGAAGGAGTCCCTGTTTGTAAGCTGTAGAAAAGGAGCTCAAGGAATTTGTTCTGCACAGAGTTGCTTTGCTCGTGTACGTTTACCTCCACTTTAAGAACAATACTGTACACTCTTGCTTAAGCAAAACCTGTTTCAAACAACTGTAAGGTACTGTTGTTGCCCTTTGGGTATCACTAACAACCATCATGCAGTCTGAACGGGAGATATCCAGCAACTATCAGAACATTAAAGGTGTGGTGCCACTGACATTTATGTCTCTGAGAGAGCACCAAAGCAGTATCCAGCATTACATAGTAGAATATAAGGCAGCTGGAAAAGTCATCTTGAGGCTGGGAGGAACACCACACTGCACTCACTTAGCAACAGCACAGGTGGTGCAGAAACAAACCCACGGTTCCACCCACACCTTGATTGCCAGCCTGGGGTCACCTGGGCTGCTCTCCCCAAGGCTATCAGACCCCCTTATAATCACCCTTCCCTGCCCTCTGTGGGTCCCACCTGCTGCTAAAGTTGGTAATGAGTGAATGCTGTTGGTGTTTAGTGTACTAATCGCTTATTCCACTGAAAGCTGTACTTCTTTTCAGTTAGAAGCTCATTTCAGCTATGTGGTTCTTGAGATTGTGCTCCTGAATGCTGTTGCGGTACGCAGCACTGAATGTGCACTTTTCTGCTGGAAACGAACAGGTTTGTCTCCTTTTATTTCTTTATTTGGAGTAATAATTTGAGAGAGGAATGAAAGATTAGCTTTTCTGTAGCTGATAATCCTCTTGGTAAAGAGTTGAAAAGCACCTTTGTAGCTCAAAGGCAGGGTAAGGTTATATTATAGTGTTTTAAATGTCTGAATAATTAAGCTTACGGTATGCCTGCCAATCTCTTCACTAGCAATGCTGTTCAAATGCTGCATCAAGTAATGTGCTCAGAAACAGATCTACCTGCTTATATACACTGAAGCTAATTTGCATCTTGAGATGAAACGATTGCACGAATGAAACAATTACAATGTTGACTACATTGTAAAGTTGTCTGTTGCGTGAGTGAACCAGCAGGTCTAGATGTTTTTGTCTAGATATGTTTTTTTAATCTCTAGAACAAAGGTGAAGCAAATGGGTACTGTTATGTCACTGAACTTCAGTTTCTAGTTTCTTGATCTCCAGTGGTGGTTTCTGAAGGTGATTTATCATACAGGATTTTCTCCTGGTATTTAAATGCTACTATGTCTCTAGAAAGTTATCAATGTGCAACTAAAGTATCAATTTGAATCAGGAGAGGTAACCTAGTAATAAGCCTGCCATAGTGACTGTATGGGGACTGCTGAGTCATGGCCTGAGCCACTGATTGAGCACCTGGTCAGCCCTGGAAGCACAGGTGAAGGTAATGATGTGCTCCACCCCTTAGACCTCATTTAAGAGCTGACTGCTAGTGAGGAAGGATGTCTTGCTGGAGATCTCTTCTTTGGGGAGTCCTTCTGTGAGCCTAGATCTTCAGAGATGGGTGAGCATTCTTCTTTTTGTAACATCTTCTCATTGCACCAGTCCTGCTGCTGTTACAATGCTATAATTCCTATTAAACTAAATTCACTGTCAGATGGTTGGGGCTGTTAGGTGCTGGGAAGGACTGCTGGTCTGCCAGAGGGGAGAAAGTTGCCACAGAAAGATCTGGATAGGCTGGATCAATGGGCCAAGGTAAAGTGTATGAGTTTCAGTAGGGTTAAGCTTTGAGTCCTTTATTTTGGTCACAACAACCCCAGGCAACCCTACAGGCCTGGGGAGGAGTGGCTGGAAAGCTGTCTGATGGAAAGAGGCCTTGGTGTACTGATGGACTGTTGGCTGAATATGAGCCCAGCAGCATGCCCAGGCCAAGAAGGCCAATGGCATCCTGGCTTGTATCAGGGATGCTGTGGTGAGCAGGACTAGGGAAGTCACCCTGCCCCTGTACTCCGCGCTGGTGAGGCCTCACCTCGAGTACCGTGTTCAGTTTTGGGCGCCTCAGTGCACAGAGGACATTGAGGTGCTGGAGCAGGTCCAAAGAAGGGCAGCAAGGCTTGTGAAGGGCTTGGAGAATGTGTCCTATGAGGAGAGACTGAAGGAACTGGGGCTGTTTAGTCTGGGAAGAGGAGGCTGAGGAGAGACCATATTGCTCTCTTCCAATATCTGAAAGGTGACTGCAGAGAGAGCAGGGTTGGTCTCTTCTCACTGGTGACAGGTGACAGGATGAGGGGAAATGGCTTCAAGTTGTGCCAGAGTAAGTTTAAGTTGGATATTAGGAAAAACTTCTTTACAAAAAGGGTTGTTAAGCACTGGAATAGGCTCCCCAGGGAGGTGGTTGAGTCACCATCCCTGGATGTGTTTAAAAACCGTTTGGATGTGGTGCTGTAAAGTATGTAAAGTGTGGTGTGTAAAGTAGAGAAAACGTGGAAAATTGAAGTTGAGTAAGCAGCAAGTTACAGCAAAAATATGATCTAAGTGTATCCTGGGTTTGCCAGGTTTCTCTCTGGCCTATCTCGTGCAGATATCCTTCTATGCTTTCCTGGAAAAATTTGAAGAGAAAGGTTCATAACATGAATCTCTCACATCCACAGGTTTTCGAGGTTGAGTATATGTGTTTACAACTGGAGGCTGACCTGCACACGGAGTAGATACTGTGCACAGAGATGCTGTGTTTGTTTTGCAAATCTGTAGATTGTTGGGTCTTTCCCAGATGATGGAGATTAGTTGCTAAAAGCAGACTTACCTACTGGAACCTTTAAAATAGTGGGTGTTGTTTTGTTTTTTTGTTTGTTTGTTTGTTTGTTTCTTTTTTTTTTCTTTACTGTTTAGTGCTTGATATGCAAGGCTATTAGCTCTTAACCTAGACAGTGACGGTACATTTCCTAAACGTATAAATAATTTTTCTTCTGTACATCAATTTCAGTTGCTGGAAACTAACCTAGGACTTTATATATGGTATAGTCAGCTATGGGAGATGGGAGCAGAAACCTTTTTTTTTTAAAAAAAAAAAAAAAAAAAAACAACCAAACACTAAAGACAGTGCAGTACATGCATTTTGTGCATTTATGCATGTTTGTTTGCTCATTGATTTAAAAAAATACAAACACATTCATGCAGTTTTTCGGTTTAAAATAAAAGCATCTAAGTTTACACTTAAAGAACTGTGGCGTTAATGTTCCATGTGCAGTACATGAACTTCCCCCTCATTCCTTTTGCCACAGTAGTTTGTACTGTGAGATACACTTCTAAATAACTGACATTTGAGTAAGGCCACAAATCCAAGGATCTTCTAGGCAAGAGGTCTAGCATGAAAATCTAACACCAGTGGCTTTGGGTTTTTCTCTTTTTGCTCTAGATAAACTTGATTTATTGTAAATAATATAACTACTACCTTGCTTTCACAAATGAGAGACACTTTCCTCTATAAAGTTCAGTAACTGCCTCCAGCTCTTGCACATTTTATAGTGAGTTTTAGAAGAATGCCTCAGAAGAAAATCTTACGTGCTCCAAACTCTGTGAGGTCTGATGCTGGTGCTAAAGGTGCACCCAAACCTCGAACTAATGGCACTTAGTGAACTATTAAGTGCCAAACACATCTTGGCAGGAATGGTACCATAATGTCCTCCCATCTAGCCTGATTTCTAGAAAGAGCTGAGGATGGGCAACCTACAGTGAGTGAACAGAACACAGCAAGATAAGGCTTAGCCTATAAATTCAGATGATACTTGCCTAAGGTTATTTAACAGGCTTTTAAGTATTTCCTTTCTATCCCTGGAGACTTGGAAGGAGGCTAGGGGAAAGTCTGTCTACTCATGTCTTCATTTGCCAGCCTTTGTGTGTCCACACTTCACATCTTCAGGACTTAGGGGCTTATGTGCCCCTCTCCCCAGCAAAGACACAGCAGTTCTTCTCCATCTCCTTTACTGTGAATTAGGAGCATGTATGCTCACCCTGCTGACTTATCTCTTCATACAGAGCTGAAATGGATGCTTATATCTACATGAGGAACTACTTTACTTTTTTCTTCTTATTTGAAGAGAGAGGTGAAATACTGTGCACTGCTTCATGCTCTATCTGTTAGACAATAGCATATGGGTTTCATGAAGAGTGATTGCAGAAATTCAAAGGCTGTATGCCAGATAGTGCCTACCAATCCTAACAGCTTCTTCTATGTTATTAAAAAAGATTAAGGCATTGGTCCAAGACTGACTGGAAATAATGTTTAAAACTCAAGCAGCTCAGTGACGCCTGGGTCCCTTTGATTATTTTCACTCCAGCAGCAGTTGCATCAATATTCTTGTGCTGCAGCGCCCTGGTTGTTAGAAGTCTGACAAGAATAGTAAAGGTACAGTGCAACTCAGCTCTGTAAAATAAACACTGAAAGGGTACAAAAAGATGTTGAAAGAAAAGCCTATTTTGAAGTCTGCTGGGGACTAGCAGTCATTCAGGATTAAAATTAAAAAAAAAAACACCACTTATTCAACCATACATAAGAATTCACTGCGTAACTTTCTTGTTCAAAAGCTCTTCTTATGAAGCAGCAGCTTACAAGCAGCAGCATTGAGCAGCAGCTACTGGTGTGCTGGATGAGCCAGCTCTTTCTGACACCCACTAGCCTAAAAAAATCTTGCAGTTCCTCGCCAATAACTAGTTGCTACTCAAAGCTAGCAAGTTCATCAATCCTTAATCGTGCAAGCTAGCACTTTAATGCTGGCAATAAGCTACTGAATATAGTAGGTTATGCGTTTCAGTTCTAATTATACTTTGAAAATAGAACACAGAATACCTAAAATTTGCTGTGGATACAGGAAATCTGTGAATACACCCCCGAAGGTTTTTTGTTCATTATAATAAAAGCTGACCTGTTTCATCTACTCGTACTTAGACATTTGATTTCTTTTTGTTGTGTTGTTTGTTTGGGTTTTTTTTAGAGGAATTGATGTATTTTGATGTCTTTTTTTTTTTTTTTTTATGGAATAGTCTAGGATAGATTACTTCGTTAGACACGGGGCATTACAGTATTATGATTTCCTATAGCGATAGCTTCTGTGAAACTGAAGCAGGAAATTTATACCTCTGAAGCTTAAAGTGTTTTAATTAAAAGATAATATACAAAATAACCTAATTATCTTTCCTAGTCTGCCATCTAAATACTCTTTATTTTACTTCTTTCAAGCAGATCTGTTCGTTAAAGAAAATAATATTCAGCTGCATACAATTTCAGAATAATTAGATTTTGCTTGCACGTGGTGAGAGATGAACAGCCAAAGCTTCAAAGTATCTAACCTGAGAGGAGTCTTATGTCATTTTGAAATTCAAAAAAACATTGAAGAAAACCTCACAGCTCTGTTCCTCTGGAGCTGAAATTTGAGCTTTGTTCTCAGATTCTTTTTTTGGGACTTTCTTGTAATGCAGAAGACCATGCATCGTGTAAATCGGCATCAACATCATTGTGGTAAAACTGATGAATACCATTTTTTGTATGAGTGAAGTTTCTTGTCCAGATCAAGGTAGTACCAGGTAATGCACAAACACAGCAATATGCGGACATTTCTTGCTGTTGGTTTTCACATATGCAGCATCTAGTGTTGGTTTGTGCTCTATTGAAAGCAAAGAAAATTAAAGCTAATTGGCTATGACGGTGGTGAAAGAGGAGACCTTAATGGAGGGGAAAACCCCTCAACTATTTCAGTGTTGACCTTCAGTTGTAAGGTTGTATTAACTGTGTCTCTGTGGAGGGGAGGAAGGGGAAATTACAGAATTACAAAACTGTTTTGCCCCATGCATCTAGAATACCTTGTTTCGCTTAGTTCTCTGATTTGTGTAAGAACAACTTTCCTAGATGGACCTAAATTGACTATATTAAGCACACTTTCCTAAGCACGCCATGTAGTTATGTAGTTTGAATGCAATATAGAGTAAAAGCAAAACTATTGCTCTCCAGTTCTGTTTGGAATAAGTAATAAGCATAACAACTGCGTTAATGCCTCTGACAATCTGGATAAAAAGAGAACCTCGTACCTGCTCTTGTGGCCACTTCTGCCTGTCCTCTGGAGTTCTTGATTTTGCTTTAAAACCTCTAGGCACATCTCCACCATGCTTAGAAGCAGATGGGATATTCAGTGATTTTGGCCTCCCTTCGTGCCTGTTAGCACTGTGAACAGCTTCTCCCTTTGAACAAGTCTCTTTATAGTCATGTGCCATGCTTTCAGTCCCAGTGTGCTCTGGACTCATCTCTGTCGTACTGTTTATGCTGCTCATGCTCATACTCATTTTGATTTCTGCTACAATCTGGTCAATGTCCTCTTCCTGCTCTTCCAGCTCTGCATCCTCTTTTCTAGAATGATATGGCGATATCCCCTGTGAGTTTCCATTAGCCTCTGCTGGGTAATAGTCCGGGTAGCCACCTTCACTTTGACAATATTGTATATTCTCATCTTGGTCTTGAATCTCCAAAGATGATGCTTCATCCTCTAAAACCTGAATGCCGTTATCTTGACCTTCCTGCCACTCTTGCCTGTCTGTCACCTCATTTTCATCCTGGTGCTGAATTTTACCTTCAGACCACTCTTCTACAGCTTCCTGACACTCATCTGTTTCAACATGGTGTTCCTCATTGGCAGCATATTCTTCTCCATTGCAGTCCATTCCTTCCAGGTAACTGTCATCCTCTGGACAGTATCTAATGTAGTATGTGATCCCTTCCTCCTCTTCTGGCAAGCCTTCATCATAGTCCTCCTCCTCAGAGGTGTTATTCACATAGTCAGAGCTGGAGTCACCATCTCCGCTGTGATCGTTGCACTCATGTTCCAAGGGTGTAGGACTGCCTTGTCTGATGGCTGTTAGTTCTGCCTCCTTTGCTGGGTAATCTTCAATAGGAAGATCACTTTCCTCATTTTCAGGCTCCCTGCTGTGAGATGAAGTTGGGCAAGCTCTTGCTCTGTGATCCAGCATGCTGGCTGTAGTGCTCTGACGCTTCCTGTTTGCCATAGCCAACTCTTTATACGACAATCATTTCTAAGCAATTACTGTAGGAAAGATGGAAAAACACATTCAGGAAAGGTCATCATCAGAGATCAGTGATGCTAATAAGAAACAACAAGTGATGGATTAAAGTGGCAGAAAGGATGTGTTTATAAGCATTTAAACTAGATTCACAGGCACCTAAATTCTAAAATGCTTGTGCTGCAGAACTGTGATATTAAATGTAATGACTTGCATACTGAAAGGAACAGAAAGAGAAGGTTCTACACTTACACAAAGCATGTTCTAATGTAGCATCTTTTTTTGTGAATTTGATAGAAAATTCATCTGGAAGCTTTAAACTGTGGCTTTTTCTTGCCACTAAGAGGTCATGCTTTGATTGCAATACAGTAAGCTGTAGTTATTTTCAATTTTCAGCTTAAATATGACTTTAACATGTACTGGAAAAAATACGGTTAAGGTTTGACCCGCTCTTATGAAAGCTAAAGGAAAGGTAAGTCTATCAATTTAGCTGTCACATAGGGCACTTAAGTATAATATATTGCTATTATGCTATTAAAAAATAAATGGCTCACTGGTTTATTAGCTCTTACTAGCTGGATGCCATTAAGCATCTCCTATTGTTAAATCAAATATTGGCTTTCAAACAATTTAACCTACATTCCAAGAAAAAAGATGTATTCACAATAAAACCGTATTACCTCTACCAGCTGAACAGTTAGGAATGGGTAGGCACATGATACAAGCTTATTTAAAGCAAGATCAAGAGCTATGGAATAGGTATTTTTGAATGACAGTGCAAGAAGGCTGTAAGAGACCTCATTTGTCTTTACTGAAGGATAGCTATGGCCAGTCAAGAACAGTGTTACTCAGTATTTCTTATGGGAAGAACTGTTCTTACTTGCAGTAGCCTCAGTCTCTATTAGTCACTGGAAATATTCTCCATATTAAATAATACTTGGGGAGGACATACTGCAACAGACCCTGCACAGATGTAGTTAGTGTCAACTGAAGATATAGAAGCAGAAAACTGCAACACCATCACAGAGAGAATCTGAAACTCTCTGCTTGCATGTTCCTGCAGAACACAGAGATGAGAATCCTTTCTGTACAATGTAATGGATTTTTTTTTTTTTTTTTGCATACATCTAAAAATTTTCACTTGGCATTGGTCCTGGAATATACCAATCCTTAATTGGTATAATTTCAGTGATAACCCAATGCAGATTACAGCAGCAGGATGTTCATAAATGTTACTTACCTGCCCACTAAGATGCTGTACATCAATGCACACCACAGGAAGCTGTTTACACATGGAGCCCAAAGGCTAGACAGGGCATGGGGGCTTGGAAGGGAGCAGTGGCTGATGATGGCAGCTACAACAGCTGTGGGGAATGGCCAGGTTAGGGGCTCTGAGGACTGTATGATGTTTGGCTGCTGGGCAGCACTAATAAACAGCAGCTGGAGCTCTCCTCCAGCAGTGGTGTATGAAAGTGCAACAGAGGAACTAGCAGAGAGAGTGTGATAGAAGAACTTCAAATAGTGGCATGCTGGGAAGACTTTAGGGCACTGATGATGACAAGAAATAGAGAAAGGAATTCCTTTGAAGCATCTAGAAATGCAGTAGTAGGAAGACATGGCAAAACTCATTTCCTATAACAATTTCCCATTAAATAAGAATTCTGTCAAAGAACATGACTGAAGACTGCTCTATGCAAGTATGCAAAACTGAGGCACCTTCTCACAACAGGTTAAAAAAAAAGTTTGATCTCTTTCAATAAGAGGCGAGGCTGACCTTAATGGAATTGAAACTCAATTGGACTCAGGAGCAAGCCATGTGCAGCAGTTACACTTCTGGTTGCCCTCCTTTCCTTTGCCAACTTCATAGCCAGGCACTACATGACAAGAATCTAAATACTGATTACATGGAGGAAAATAAAGCAGAATTTCTTTTTCTCAGCTTCTGAATTGCAGACTGAATGTGTGCTGATGATACTATTTTCAACTACAGTAAATGTGGCTTCCACTACTGTACCGATGCATTTGAATTAGTAAATGCAGTTTTGAAACCCAAGTGGATATGAAGATTGCTTTTTGAGAAAAGACTTGCTCTTACAGCTGAGGAGCTCCACCTGTTCAGTTCTGTCAGCAGGTCACTTGCTCTGCTTGGTGTAGAGCTCCTTCCTACTGTCTCAGTTTCCTCTTTAACAGAAGAGTTAACTTAAATCTCTGCGTCATTCAAAGTGGAGTTTTCAACTTCCAAAAAAACAAGTGTCTCTGAGAGCATAGATGTCAGTGCTGAGTTCTCCACTCTCCTCAGAATTCAGTCATTTTTACTTTGATTAGACAAATTTGTGTTGTATGGTACACCACTAAAGCTTCATTAGTGTTGTCAAGATCAGTGGTTAAGGACCTAGTCACACAGAGCTCTTTCCCTGCCTCAAAATATTGAGCAGAAAAGGGAATTAACCTCCAGAAAGCACACGCTGCATTTCTAAATGTGAGCGGCTCCCCTACATACACTCCTGCAGCAGGGTTACTGCTTATAACTGGACTGCATTCTAATCAAGGCTCAGTACAGACATTAGTATTCTCCTGGATTCCTTGCACCTAATCCCAGACAGCTGTAGAGAGGGGGTTATGAACTGCTAGCACTTGCACATCTTTTTCACCTGTGTAGGAAGATACCTTCACTACTGCTCCTACGGAGACAGACCAATTAAATTCCCATTAGGAATGGGAAACAGTGCACAACTGTAAGCACAGCAATAAAGTAAAATACCCAATAGGACACTCCTGGCTGTGTTTAAAGAGCTGCTTTACATGTGTAATGGATTCAGGAGTTGGACGGTGTCCTAAGAAGAACAAGCTGTCTCGCAGTTTTTCTCTCAACAGTTTGGGGTTTGTTAGCCTCCTCCAGTTGTAAATGTGCTGTACCATTGTGTGCTTCTCTACAGCTACATGATCTTTCCGGCCTGGGTTTTACAACCCATAAGTGAATCCTGAGTTTTGCTGGCCTCACTGATACCCTTACTTCATGTCAGGCCTTCTTCCTGTGCTTGCTGTTTTTTGGGTTACTTTCTCCATCTATTTCTGTCTCCTTTCACTCACACTTCAAACGTGTGGCCCTCCTCTGGTTGTTGTTTTGTGTTGTTTTGTGGTGGTGTTTTTTTTTGTTGTTGTTGTGTTTTTTTGTGTTTTTTTTTTTTTTTTTAACAAAATTCCCAGCCAAGTTATGGTTCCTTCAGGTAATTTAGTATCTCCTATTCTCTCCACGTACCCACTGCAATCTAGGTTTTGAATTGTTTCTAAAAATACTAATTTATCTGCCTTTTACCATGGTTGCCTTCAGGTGCAAGAGGAACGTAAGCATTGCCATGCACTTTGCCATCAGTCTATGTTACAACACATGGTCTGCTGGCATCTTTCTCTTCTGCTGAGCGGTGTTTTCAGAGCTCAGTAGACTTAAACTATTCCAGATATTAGTCCTATGCAATAATCATTTAAAAATACTGCCAAGAAACTGACCCTTTCACATACATAACCACACATGTGATTTCACAGGTTCATAAGAGCTGTATTTAGCAAATTATTCAGTTCAGTTGTAACTTGGATGATAGGATTTTTCAACAAAACTGTACTAGAAAAGTTGTGATTCCAGGACTTTACACTAATATACTTTTTTTTTTAATAAGCAGATAAGTTAAAGCAGGAGAAAATCTAACTTTAATTTCTTCAAAACAATTTTAATATCAGACTAATAGTATTTCTCAGTTGGCTTTCATTACAGAAGACTTAATAGAATCCCATCAGCTAAGTCAGCCAAGATGAATTGTGACTGATTCTAGACTGGGGAAATAGAATTTTTAATGAGCAGATAACAGAACATGAGCCTGCCATAACTTTGTTGGATTCTGCAGTCGTTTGATTCCCCAAGGCCAAACTACATTAGCTACATGTTCCCTTTTCAGTAGATCTGATACTACAGACAGTGAGAAATCATGCAGAGCTATATAACTGGAGTGCAGGCTGACCTGCTGACTCTTCTAAAAGCAGGTGCAAAGAGGATCCTTGTTTCCAAAGGAACACTGATTCACCTGTGTAATGCACAGGTGACTAAGCCTGTAGGCACTGATTTCAGAGAGGGCACAATGTCTCCAATGAAAGAAATGTAGGGGGACATACAGCTGAGTATCTCTGATCTTCTTCCACATACGCTCCTTGTCTAGTGTGTTTGGAAGCAATACGAATGTATCCTATAGTCAGAACTATCAAGGCAAAACTAAATTAGGGATCTATTGTGCCATTCTTCATCGTGAATGGCACCTCTATTTTATGAAAATTCACAAGTGTGAAAATTCTCTTACTGTCTCTGAGTAAGGCTGCTGCAGCCTGACAGTAAGTATTAGTTGGGTCTGTTAAAAAATGTTTAGACTTTTCTCTAAAGCTTTTGAATAACAACAACAAAAATATATACACAACCATATTGCAACCCATTATTTCCAGGTTGGAAAAGATCTGGGACAGAAGCTTCAATTATTTGTTAGGGTAAATAGAACTACTGTTTTTTATAATCAGGATCTAGATATGCATTTGAAGTAAATACACATAAATATCAAGTGTACACATGCCTTTTGCTTCATACGTGCTCAGCAGGTCTAACATATCCTAATGCCTGTTTTTATGGGATTTGATTCAGAGGTGCTGCTGTAACTGAGTACCTGTAATTCTAAGAGATGGCCAATGCCCCCTGCGTTCAAGGAAAGTTCTTGGAGGAACAAAGCCTGCCACCAAACACACCCAAGAAATCTGGACGTGTTGTAGTCCTCAGCTCCAGACCCAGTGACTTGAGGTTTCATTTGAAGTTGGGCTGTTACTTTTAAACCAATAAAATGGCTTCACTTGCATATTTGAAAATATACCATAAAGGATGGTTTCAAGTAAGGAAGTGCCTGAGTGCACAAAATATGAATTTCTAGCAGTTTAGACCTGTTTTTGTTTGTTTG